CATGCTTAAAGCCGGCATCACAATTCGGCATGATCAACTGAACCGAACCAACAATTGAGGCAACGGCAAGTCAAACAACGGACTTGTTTAATTGTGAGCAAATCGGCGGATTGCTTTATCACCGAGATGATCAAGTGTAAGCGAAGATCTTCGGAGTCAGCACATCACACATAATGGTTCTTCATAGGTGAAGTGTACCCGAAGTGGGCCGAATCCGGAACCGTATAATCAACTCAACCAATGATGAAAGGCAACGGCTATTCCCGTAACTGACTCAATGTAATTAATGTCAGCAGAGCGGCCGAGTTGCTTTAACCCCGAGATGTCCGGTCTAGGACCTGGCTAAAGATCCTCTTGAGTCAGTACATCATACATCATGATTCCTCACATGTGAAGTATACCCGAGGTCGGCCGCGCGCTTACTAGCCGGATAGCTCTGATGATATCACCACACCGAAGACTTTCGGCTGATCCATAGTTATTCGGGGTCCACTGCGTCAGCGAGATTCTACCACCAAAATAAACCTCCTCTTCCCCTCCCCTCCTCCTAACTCCGAGCGACTTATAAGGTGCGACGGGCCGGCTTATTGGTATAGCAACAAAAACAGTTAAAACCATCTGAGAAATATTAACCGTACTTTATACGCTATCATTCGACCCAGACGACTGCCACCATGCCGGACCATCAAGCCTGTCAACATCCCCGGCATTGCGTGGGATATCGCCGCCGACATACACTTCCCACCAAACTTTGACGAGACAAAGAAATACCCAGCAGTCTTGTCGGCCCATCCGATTGGCTCGTGCAAAGAGCAGACCTCGGGCAATGTCTATGGCAAGGCAATGGCTGAAGCTGGCTTTGTGGTTGTCGCGTTTGACGCATCTTTCCAAGGTGCCTCGGGCGGAGAGCCCCGGTTCATAGAGAACCCCGAATTTCGCGTCTCCGACTTCCGCTACGTGGTCGACTATATTCAAACACTGCCATATGTCGACCCGGAGCGTATCGGCGTACTGGGCGTTTGCGGCGGCGGTGGCTATGCTTTTAACGCTACCATGACCGACTACCGCCTCAAGTGCTGCGCCGGCATCACAGCAGCTAACTTTGGCCGGTTGGCACGGGAATCCCTCAGTGGCTTCGATCCGGTTGGTTCTCTTGAGAAAATGGCCAAACAGCGCACCCTCGAAGCCCAGGGTGCCGATCGTTATATTTTCCCATTCCTTCCCCCGACAGTCGATGAGGCTAAGAAGATGACCTCGGATCCTGATATCGTCGAGGCGACAGAATACTATAAGACCAGCCGCGGCCAGAAACCATGTGGTGCCACGAGCGGCCTTTTCTCATTCAATAGCGCCGCCCTTGCATGGGATGCTTTCAGTCATGCGGAGGTCATTATGACTCGTCCTTTCATCGCCGTTATTGGTTCCATTCCTGGCGGCTTCGGCGCCTATCGTGACGGTAATGAGATCTATAGTCGTGCCGCTTCTAAGGAGAAGGAGCTTCTTGTGCTCCCCGGCGTGTCGCACTATCAGCTTTATGACGAACCGAAGGCTGTCAAGGCTGCGCTCGATAAAGTTCTGCCATTCTTGAAGAAGCATCTTGGCGATGCTGAATAGATACAGTCGTGACTGCAAGGGAGGGTTTCTCTTGCTTCTGCCTCTTTGACTCTTGGCATCTGTATCTGTCTATGCTTTTGTCTCTGAAAATATGAATCAACTTCCATTCATGATCAACCCAACAGCTTATCCTGTATATATTATGTTCCTTATAGCTTAGCTATCTCTGAAAATACAAATTTAGCTTGACAGCCGCTAGCCTTGTTCCGCTTGACGCGTAGCCTAGGCTAGATAAGATAAATTTCTCGCTTACTGCTATATATGTGTACCACCAAGGGCTGGTGATGGCGATAGTAGTGAAAAATACTGGCGAATGGCCCTCCCCACCGCGGTCCGCGCGACTCATGCGCGGACATTACCATGTTCTGAAACATTGCTGGAATGGGAAATAGAGGGCTTAAGCACGAATGCCTCGATAAGCTAGAGATTTGGATATCACATGTTTACATAGTAATTTCTGGTTCATGCGTTAACTTCCCAAAACCATCCTTCCAATCTAGACTAACTTAGTGCGCATTATGCAAAAGAGATTGTGACATTGCCACTTTAGTAATCATTGCTGCTAAGGGACTAAGGGCAAGCTTGAAGGAAAGTCGTCAAAGGCGCGAACTAAAGGGCTACGAGGTGCCAGTATTTTTGGCAGGAAAATTACAAGTACTTGATAGAGCCTAATGTCAAGAAAAGTGGTCCTTACAGTACTAAGCTTGCTCGGGTTTTACAGCACCGATTTTGCTTACTCATTTGCTGCATAGATGGCCATTTCGCCAAGCCATTTCCCTGCTTGCTAAGCACTCACTGGGATAAATAGTTGCTACATCGGCTAGTCCTAGGAATTACACTCATTCTATGATATCAGGCCGACAATTGGTCTATTGTAGAACTAGCGCGTACCGTATCTCTTGGAATCGACACCTAATACCACGTGATGCCATATTGCCCTGAAACGAACGAAGTGAGAGTAAGGGTTCTAATCAACGTGGATGTACATGTGCGAGACTGGAAAAAAGAAGAGGCTTAACTATGTACGGTCCGTTCCGCCACGCACCCCCGTGATTCGCCCCTTGCGTTTCCTCTTCGAGTCTGGTGTGTCAGGGCTTAGGGTTCGCCGTGCGTGTATGCATTGCGTCTGCACGTTGTCCTCTTTGTGATTGCTTCGATCTTTGTTCTAGGGCCCTCTTTTACTAGGACGCTCTATTGCTTATTGCCATATAGCGCCCGACGATATTATTGTCAGATTAAAGAGACCCCGCACATCTGCTGACGAGACTGAAGTGTGCTACCGATGCTCAACATTGCCTTACGCAAAAATTATCCTTGAGACTTAGAATACTCGTTGAATACCTTTGACTTAGCTCACTGATATTTGCAACACAATGGAGTGCCTAGGTGTTCCTATTGACCTTCGACTGCGGCGAGTGATTCGTGAGGCAAGACGTATTGATAGGGACAAGGAAAATTCCGACTATATTCAGCTTCTTCATAGCTTTGGATCATCTCTAGAGGTCGACGAGAGTGACTACCCGATATGTGACCTGAGCTTCGGACTCGAAATGGCGCGATCGGAATTGAAGGGTGGTGTTCTTATTGTACTGGAACGGCCTCATTCGAATTAGGAAAACTCGGACGGCTTTATGGAAGGCAAACGCAACTGCCGAACCACTAATGCAGTGTCGGATCTTATATCTGCTGTAAACAACTATACGTTGGGTTTTGACGATGTCAGCTTATTTGATGCAATGCCTTTTCTAGATGAGACAGTCGCGGGAAAAGATCGCTAGGATATCACCGATGAAGCACAGAATGTTTTCGCCGATATGGCTAGAGCTAAAGGCCCTGATATCATTCTAAGCTGCTTCAAAGCTGAGATTCAAAACTCTCTTGTCAAGAAACGTCAGAGCCGAGGAGTAGGGCGGAGTTTCTACCCTGATACAGTAGTTCCGATAAACGGTGTCACTACCCACACTCTTCCCATGTTTCTCGAACCCTAGTGCCAAGAAATACTGAACCTAGAAGATCTATGTCAGCCTTATTCGTTCGGGCAGTGTACCGTAAATTACCGGATTATCATAATAGCGAGAAATGTATTTATTACTGAAAGAGTGTAAGTGGCATAGATGACGGATCTAATATCTCTAACGTCTATCCGTCCTTACTACTCTTCGACCTTTTCTTTGATTGTTCGAGATCCGTTCGGTAAAAGATTATAAAGCCTGGTCTATATTTAGGCCTTGATGGTCTCACGTTCGAGAGGTTGCTGTTAACGAGCACGCACCGTGGGTGCTAGGAACACGCAGAATGGACGAATGAGGAGATAGAAGTGGGATCTGGCAGGTATTTTCGGCCTTAAGGGTATAAAGCCTGTCATCAAGATCGGACTTTAGGTTTAGGGCAGATGGAATTGCCGAGCCGAGAAAATCCGAATGGCAACGGAGGCACTGATGATTCATCACTTTTGAGCATAGTACTGCATAAGTACCCTGTTATTTAGTTAATAAGAGAGTCTGGTGTGTAATGGCATACAAGGAACTCTCTATATTACATTTCTATTAATGATTGGTGATTCTTAGCTGTTAGGTATTACGTTATAAAGCCAGTAATTGCGCACTAATGGACAAGGTCAGCCTGGTAGAGTGGCAGGGCTAATTGCTGTGTTATGACCGTTATGACCGACTGTCATAAATCTATATTTGGTTAGATTGTAGTAACTTTAGTACAGCGGAAGCTGGCCGAGTCTGTGTCCGTAGAATGGTGTGCATTGCCATTACATCCTGCGGTGTTAGCAGAAGACTCCGCCCACAACCCCGCTTGGCTGGGCTGACTGGGTGCATTTGGCCGCTCTGTCTCGCAAGGCTAAATCTAAACGCTGACATTAAGCTTGCAGCTAAAGGGTGCCCCCGTTAACTCCGGCCCGTTGTCATCCACCATCATCTGCCAACTAACCATTATGTTATTGATTCCACTTTCTATAGTAATTCTAGCGTGAAACATAAAGCTTCTGTATAGCTAACCCCGCCTGAAAAGTGCAGATCTATCCACCTGTGCCTGGTTATAAGCTATCCCACTCGCACACTACATTTAATCTAGTGAATTATGAGGTTATGCCCCACAATTTATTCCACTAGATAGGAATCATTCCTGTATATCCTGAGGGGGGATCAGGTTTAATAACTCTATAAAAGACCTCTTTCCTAACAATCAGCACTTACCAATACAAGGATTTCATTTACAGTATTTACGGAGTGCTCAATTTGCTGTCCTCAAGGTTAGTCACCGGAGTGCTATCTGAAAAATTTCTTTACTACCTCCGGCTCCTTTCACCTAGCCTTCCAGTCTAACATGCATAAACTCAATAGTGGAAACGACGTCAAATTGATAACATCGAAAGAATGCCTGAAACACTCATTATCCCCAGCTCCTCCCAAGGCAGCCAGTCAATCCTCAAGCCCACTACCACCTTCACGGGCGATGTTTATCTCGACATTTTCCATATGGATGACACCACTGCTATCACCAACGTGACCTTCACTCCCTGTGCGCGTACCTATTGGCACACTCACGAAGAAGGACAATTTCTGAAGGTTGTCGCCGGCTCAGGTTGGATCTGCGACAAGGGCGCCGAGCCCCGCCGTATCAATGTCGGAGACCTGATCTGGGCTCCCCCGGGAACAACCCACTGGCATGGCGCAGATAAGGGTGGCACCATGACCCATTTTGTCGTCGCCTTAGGCAAGACGACCTGGCACGATGCGGTGACGGATGAGCAGTACGGGGAGAAGAAGGATTAGAATTCTCTGGAAAAAAGACAACAGGGATTGAATAAAAAGCAGCGTTGGGTTAGATGTTCCAATTTAACCAGCCTGCAAATTTTATGATTGTGGAATTTGGTACGAATACATTGAATTCATCAAGAAAGAAGAGCTCCATCTTATGAAGGTATAAATCCGGCTTTTCGAGGAGGTAGTCGCACAGGGCTTCCAGCATAATTGGAGTGATGCTCTGGGGCCATCTAGCTTTGATAGGAGGAGCTTTGATGCTACCGAATAGTCGCAGGTTAGACCGGATCCTGGTTCTAATCAACGTGGATGTACGTGTGCGAGACTGGAAAAAAGAAGAGGCTTAATGCCCTGAAACGAACGAAGTGAGAGAAAGGGATTCTCCGCCCGCGGGAATACCCCTGTTTCTGCAAAAATTTTATTTTTTTGGCTGTTGTTAGCCAAATTATTGCCCTGAAACGAGGAACGAGTGAAAGGGGTTATTTCGGCCACGGCTACACGTGAGATACGTGGCTGCTGCCGCGAAAGCTGGCCTGCCAAACTTGCACCTTCGCTTGCCTCTGATTCGCCCATTCTAGGCCGATTTCTCGCTTCTCGTTGGTTGCCGACTTTGTTTCCTTATTGGCCTCTTTCTCCTGCTTCTTACCTTTGCAATTGGCCTTCGATTACTTCCTGTTTCGGCTTAGCGCTCTCGTCCTTCGCTCTATTGGCTTGCTCTCCTACGTTGATCCTGGATGGACCTTGCTTCTGCTATCGTGATCCTTGTATACATTGCTGATACCTCTCTTTTATATGAGTACTTCTATTGTCCGCCTACATCGCTACATTACTTTTTACGGCCCGTGTCTTGCGTTTTTATGTACATTTTCATACCTGCAACTCCGTCCGCTTACTTTATCCTGTGCCCGGTTCCATTCGTGCCATCCATCCCCCTGGCACTCTCTCAAGGAATTCTGCTTTCATTTACTGCCAATACCTCGTCACGGACGTCACCGCGTGCCAGATATATAAACTTTCTCGGATGCATTTCTAGCACCTCTACGGCCAATCACAACGTGATTGTACAAACTTTTATATCTCTACTTACCGTCTCGTCTTATTATGAATATTTTACCGCTAGTTCACACCCTTCACTTCGTTTCAGGGCATCAGCGTGCGAAGCGCGCGTCACCAGTTTTTTGGCTGTTGTTAGCCAAATTACGACTTCTCATTCGCTAGTCCGATCCGCTGTCCTCCTCTGATTCGCTACTTCTCCGTTCCCTCTCATTCCACGCCCTCTTCTGATTCCTTTTCAAGAATTCATCATCTTGGGTTAGTGTTGGCGTTTTTCGTCCTGGTCTACTGGCTCTTTCCTCCATAACCCTAACAGCTGACTCGTTAACCCTAGTGTCTGTGCTTCATATTTGCTGTTTATTCGTTGTACACTCTCATTCATTGCTTGCATGCTCTTGCTACGCACTGTCATAATATTTTGTTGTTATTGGCTTGCCATTCGTTTGCACAGTGTGTTTGCTTATGGATTGGAAGCGGGGTTGGGCCGCAATGCATTGACATTGAATACCACCAAATTTGATGGAACCCTGCGGTAAAAGAAATATATTGAGATTGTTTTCCCCTCGAGGAGGTGCTATCCTTTAGAGTGATCAAAGAGCCGGGTTTTTGGGACTTCTCTTCTTTCTACTATTCGTGCCGTACCGCAAAGTATACTTGCTCAGTAAGCGTTCCTTCGTGTAACTGGTCGGTATGTAGGACGCCTCTGATCAATTGGCATATAGGTATGAATACATTCAGCCTCCATCCCGCCGAGGTCCCTATTACTCTCTACCGAGTCCAATATGAGGATTCTGTGACTACCTATGATATATATGAGGGGCTCGAAGCAGATGATACGGTTACGTTATATGATGGTGAAGGGGACGAACAGGAACAAGACGATACCCTCCAAGAGTTTGCCGACGCAGTAGAGCAGCATCTAAGCTGGGACACTGACTATAGGAGCATTTTTATCTCGCTTTTTTCTCAGAGAAGGCACGCTGAAAATTGGATGCTGGAAAGGCATACGCGTTTTGGCAGCAGAAACTGCACTCTCCTTCAGATTAATACGGCCGCTCTTCACGGCTTTTTTATCTTCCGCGCCGAGGAGATTGTTGATGCGCTTTCGTTGTCTATTCCAGAAGCAGCCCAAGCGAGCGTTGCTAGGGAGTATCTTATTGCCCATTATATACCCTAACGAGCTATTATAAGAAGTCAAACTGTCCATGACATTCTAGCAGGTAAGACCACGCCTTTCTCGGTGGATTCTGATGTGGCTTGGGGAGCCAATGGTGCCATGTCTCAGAAACATGGTTCTTAAAGTAAAGAAATACTAAGATACAGTGGATATATATATAGCTCGGCATCAGCGTCGCCCTTTGATTCCCCGCCCCTTGCGGACATCATCTGAGGATGTGACACCACCCCAGCTAATTGCACAGCTAGAGGCAATGGGAATATAATACGTGAACGTCAAAACATCATCCGTCCCTCGGTTTTTTGTCACCGGAAATGGCCCTTTGTGCACCAAAGACGGCAGTGATTTGATTTCGAATGTAGATCAATTCGCACTAATGCCACGCCGTTTCAGGGCTTACAGCGTGCCGCGGCGCGCGTCTTCCAGTCTAATCAACACGGATGTACGTGCGCGCGAGTCCGTGCAGAAAGATGTGGCTTAACTATGTATGGATCGTACTTCCACGCCTGCTTCCTATTCGCTCCCTTACTTGCCTTGGAATTTCCTTTTCGAGTCTGGTGTATCAGGGCTTTAGGGTTCGCCATCTATATCTGCAATGTACCTGCACGTTACCTTTACCTGATTGCTTCGTTTACTGTTCTCAAAATCTCTTTTACTGCGACGATTTATACACTATTGCCACACATATCTCCTCCCACATGTTAGAAACATGTGCAGCTAGATGGATTGGGACTCTTAGACATATTATGTTCTCCTTGGCCCCTGTGCTTCTATATCGAAATAGTGGCGAAGTGTCTAGGGGGATGATCCTGCTCCATTGCGCTCGGCTTCCAACCCCATACATGACTATCACTTGGTTGGGCCTTCAGGCTCTCAGAATATTGCGCAGCACCAGGTTTTTTGTGATACAGGTCTGTTCGAAATCAGTTTCACCACTTTATTCTCTTTGGTTCTTCTTAAATCTTGGCCAGATCCACTTTCATCTAGATCTGGCCTAGAGCACTTGAGATGTCGAAAAGGAAAAAGGCTACAAGCAAGCACTAACTATATTAGGCCTGGCGTCACTAAAAATAGAGGTTGAGAAACAATCAAAGAGAACAAAATGGTGAAACTGATTTCGATCCGCCCTGTACGCCTGCGCCGTACAATCGAACAGATGACGATTCCCTGAGCTATCGGAACCGGTCAACGCTCCGATGGATCTTTGAGCTCTTAGGATACTGCACAACTCAAGCTTTGTCAATCGCTTACCACCATTTCAACGAATAACGGTTCACCGAGGGCTATTGACGTCGATGAATGCAAGCCACTGCGGAGAGCGTGGTTTGACTGTCCTTTTTTTCCAAAATCTCACTAAACCACGTCAGAATTCTCACACGGTGAGGATACTGGGGCTTGGCCAACATATAAGACCTCCAAGTTGCCTGCTAGTTGTTGTCAGGTTCCCTTATAAAACAATGCCGTTGCGCCTAAGTCAGAAGTCGCTGCTAACAAAAACGCGAGAAAGTATGCATGATTTGCCGAGTTGATGGTCTGGGCAGTCCTAAAAGCTTGGTGAGCAACTGGAAAGCCACGGCGTAAAGTCGAGCTGTCTTGAATATCATCGATACTAGGCCTGCGCTATTCTATGATTTCCATTAATTTACATCTTACAGTATTCCTCTTCTCGTAGCATTCTACATTGTTCAGCGTAGTGTATATCGTCTACGGTTCCATCCTCTTAGTCAGTTTCCTGACCTGGCATCTGCAATAGGAAATTGAACAGTACATCTAAGCGCCCCGTGTTTTGTATAGGTCATTCCAAACTGCCCTAGTTGTTTACTATAGATTGTACTGAGTCAAACCATACCGTGACTAAAAATTATTGAGTATTGAGAACTTTGATTAGAGAAGAGTTACGAGCCATATAGTTTCAATAGTAGTTGTTCGGTGGCGATCTCGCGACATTCTCACCCATAATTGCGCGACCAGAAGTGGCGATCATCTGTTTCTCCAGGGCTAAGTTAATTTATTCACTAGCGCGAACATATAGCGTGCGGCTTATGTGCGGCCAGTAGACGGGTGCCGGTCGCGAGGGTGAGAAATGGGTGGGCGCCGCCCTAGGGTCGCGCGATGTCAGGTGAGAAGGGTGAGTGCAACAATAGACAGAAAGCAACCGGGCGGATCACCCACCACACTGTCCCATTAACTGAATTCAATCTAAACTTTATTAGTAGCAGCGTTTCAACTTATTCTCTTGGCATCTGCACATAGCAAATTGCTTCCTTGTGCGCTGCCAATTATATCTCGTACCCCCGTTTTGCTCCTGCTTGTTGCTACGCGGGACGTGGAAGGCATGCCATCCAGTATTGAATAGTTCAAAGCACGGGATTGAAATCGTAAGATTGCTAAATTTTTAAGTGCCCAAGCATTCATTCAGTGAATGAAGTATTCATGTACTCTTCATGATGTTTGGTAAATTTGGCCTAGACGTAGAGTAGCACTAATTGCCGCCCGCAGCTTGCATTGTGGAGATTATTAGCTTTGCGTTACCATATCGAATGGCGTACGAGCAACCACGTTGCAGATTCCAGACCCTCTTGCATGCATCGTGACGTGATTTCAATTAGGTGCATGAACCAGGCCGCACACGTGATCAGACAATATCGATATAGTAGGGATCGCCTTTTCCCCTCCTCGCTTTGGTTATTGTCACCTGTGTTGTGCTATAAATTCTGGAGTTGGCAATCATTGACCCATAGTTAGATACAATCTTCTATTGTGTGGACCGATCTCAGTCCCAAACGAATCCAGAAGGCGTGCGATTTAAATTCCGTTGCAATGGACGAGAATAGTGTTGTCTTGCAGGCTAATATCCTTCTCAATGAGCTTCTTTCCGCTTACGACGAAAAGTATCACTCCTCGACAGTGGTCAATAGTATCTATGATACAGCGTGGATCTCGATGGTTCTGAGAAAAACCGAAATGCCCACAGCTCCTGAATGGGCCTTTCCCGTTTGTTTTGACTTTCTCTGCCTGGAGCAGGCAGAAGATGGAGGATGGGGAAACCCTTTCTCACTGGTGGAACGTATCACCTGTACCTTTGTCTGTCTTTTAGCCATCAAGAAACATCTCCGTATATCGGACAATCTTTCAGTGAAGGATCAGGTGGACCTGCAGCACCGGGCAAATCGGGCTATTGAATTTGTTCACTCGAATCTCGCAAGTTGGGAGCTTAATGCATTGGACACAGGGCTTCCAATAGGATTGGAACTTTGGTTGCCTGTTGTTATTGAACAGTTGGAAAAAGAAGGAGTGTCATTTGCAATTCCTGGCAAGGATCGAATTCTCAAGTTACGCCTGGAGAAGCTTTCTCGGTTTCCTCTAGAGGTCCTCTATAGGCCCAGTAGCCTGATTCAGCCTTCACCCTTGTTTACACTCGAAGGATTTATCGGGGTTGTCGATTTCAGCAAACTGAGGCATCAGACAGTCTATGGATCTATGTTTTCCTCCCCTTCATCCACGGCTGTTTATTTAATGGAATCGCCTGAATGGGACCCTGCAGCGGAGGATTATCTGCACCATGTGGTGGAACAGAGTATTGTCAAGCATAACCGTTGTGTGCCTCAATTATTCCCAACATCAGTTTTCGACATTGACTGGGTATGTCATCTGTCTTCAATATCGCTAGCATGCCTCACACTAACTGTTTATTGAGGTCCTCAACATCTTCGTTGATAGTGGGTTAAGTCTAAACAATCTCGATACCCATTCTGTCAAGACCTTAGGAAACATGATCCTGCAGTGCCTGGAAAAGCAAGATGACATCCTTGGGGCTGGTAAGATCGGCCTATTTTCAACTCTTTTCGTTGAGTACCCTCGTGCTAACCCCTCCTTATTTAGATGAAATCATTTGTCCCGAGCCTGACTCTACGGCAATGGCCTTAAGAACAGTCTACCACTCTCTTGGAGCTCATCGCTCGATTCAGCATATGATTGATGCGTTTGAGGGTGGGGATAATTATTTTACCTTCAGTGGCGAACGTGACCCTAGTGTCAGTAGCAACGCCCACGTGCTGCAAGCCTTGGTACTAAACCCAGCGGCGCGGGAGCATACTGCCTCTATCGAGAAGTGTGCTAGATATCTCTGTGAAACGTGGGGTAACTCCCACGGGCTTATTCCGGATAAATGGGCAGGTCAACCTTCACTATCTACGATGGATGCAGAAATTTCTAACATGTTTTTTTTTTTCCAGAATCATTCCGAGTATTACGCGACTTTTGCCACCACTCAGGCCTTGGTGGACTATCTGGTAGCATTAAGCGAGGAACGAGTGGAGTCTTTATCGGAAACTCTTCTCGGGGCCCTTATCCCTCTCACTCTTTTCCAAGCGGTGGTACGAATCCTTCTCCGCCAGAACCCAGACGGATCTTGGGGGTCAATCAGTCTCCGTGAGGATACCTCTCATGCAGTTATCACTTTAAAATCTGCATGGTCTCTTCCCTTCATATCTGCCACTCTCAGTCAAGAGATCGGCCAGGCCATCCAGAAAGGTCAAGCTTTCATCTCTGCGAACTTAGATGCGCCTTTCAACGACTATACTTGGAATGGGAAATGCGCCTATGGACTGCTAGCTGTGTCTCGTGCTATTGCTTTGAGTGCATTATTGGAAACACGGCCCGCAAGGAGATATTCCCCAAAGGTTGAATCATTATATCAGCTTGACATGAAACTGATTGTGAAACGAGCTGAGCATCTTAGGAAAATGAGATGTTTTGCAGACTTGCCCGCCTGGATTATTGAAGCAACCTGCCTTGAAGCGGTTTTCCTTTTCCGCGGAAGTCGACAACCTACCTGGCTTGAGAAGAGTGTTCATCTTGACGAAGGCTTCTTAATAATGTTGGCAGCCATTTGCATCGGCCTCAACTATTCCAAGAGAGCCTTTCTGAGCAATCGCATCCTGTTTGGTATGCTTGAGCTTATGGAATTCATATACACTATTGATCCTCTCATTGATGAGGAGCTTAGCGATCGTTCCCCAGAGACTTTACAGTTGATTGAGAAGTTGGTCCATCAAGTGCTTGCAGACATACACCTCCCCGTTGGTTCAGATATCCAACCGACGAAAAAGCCCGTCAATGGCCATCAGGGCGAGACAATCACCCTGGAAATTTGCCACGGTCAAATAGAGATATATAAAATTGTTAAAGCAATCGAATACGGCACGAAGCAGATCATGGAGAATCCGCATGTTGAAGCCGCAAGTCACTATGACCGTAGGAACCTTCTTATGGAACTACGCTACGCTCTCCTTGCTCAAGTCGAAAAACTCCACGTCGGTGCTTCACTGGCTTCATGCCATGAAAGAGGTCTCAACTTCTACCGATGGACTCAGGGATCTGGTGCAGATGATACGTTCAGCGCCGTTGTTCTTAAATTGATGATTTGTCTTGTCAAAAGCCATTTGGATACTGAGATCTGTCCAAACCCCACCGAGAAGTATCTACTGGAAGATTTCAGCCGCCACGCTGCAACATGGGGCCGGCTGTGGAATGATTATGCAGACGTTGAGCGGGATCGTGCTAGTTCTAATCTTAATGTGCTGGACTTTCCTGAGTTCCAGTCTCCTTGCATGGAAGATGGACGCGATCTTTCACCTGATCAACTGAAGAGGCATTACCTTGCCGATCTTATTCAACACGAGGAAGATCTGGCCGAAAAGGCTTTAAAAAAATTAACCAACGCAATTCAATCCCGTGAAAAGCATGCTCAGACTGAGACGATAACTGTCTTACATTGGTACATGGACATTAACCGGGCTTTTCAAGAACTGTATTATGCCAAGACCATTTTCACAAGTCATGTGTAAGGGCTGCGAGTTATGGGAATATAATTTCAATTATAAAGTTCAAGGTAAGGTTTTTCGTACTGTAATGGTTAGCACTCGGAACTATGACTTACTATGAATTTTATCGTTCTTGGTGAATTTTCGAGGAAACGCAGAAGTCGCAAACATTTCAAGTCAATTTCCTTCCAAGGTCAGGTCGTGAGCACAAAGTGTCTCGCACCACTTTGGAAAGCGGAGAATTTTACCTACATCTGCTGTGCATACTCGAGAGAAATCCCCAATCTTCTAAATCCCAGCAAGTCTTGCACGAATTCCTAAATAACCAAAGAAATCGTACCTAGTTATTGACTTGACGGACTTTTAGGGTCAGTGGAGAAGTCGGACCGGTATTGTTGCCGCTTTCATATCCATCTGTTTAAAAGCATACTTGATAAGACCGAGTCCTCGACGAGGGCGAGTCTTTTATTGTCTGGCAACTCATCGTCACTATAGCAAATCCTCCCAGATGTTCGTAATGCTTCTTCCAAAAGCACGTGTGAAATGAACTCATAGCCAATCTCGAATTCAAATAATTGCTTTCGTTCAGCAATTTCTTGACCAATCTAGGCTGCGCGAAGACATGTCCAGACACATGTCGAGATCAACTTTATTTAAGAAAGAATATTCCGGACCGTCAGGTCAATGATGTCGTAGAGTCCAGTGAAATAAGAGGAATCCAGGGAATGGGCTGCTATTTTACCAGGAGTACCATCTATGACGTCATATTCAGGAATATATATGAATATATATTGTAATACGTAATATCTAATGACAGAAATCAGTGACCAATATTGTATGGGTTTCAGAACGGTAATATCAAGCTCTCTAACTAACTAAAAACTATGAAATTGGCAATTTTGTAGGACATGCTGACAAGAAGTAATATGCACTTCTATGTGAGGTGTCTGATATTGATATCGTAAGATATCCTGGGTAAATACCCAGAAATCCACAGGCAGATCCACCATATTTCTGACATCTAACCCTATCGTGATCCACGTTGACGATGATTGTGGCCTTGATGGGACGGAGCAGCTTGGTTCTAGTGCCCGCATTGAGATCGTAGCTTCACCAGAGTTCTGGGAGAATTTGATTACGGCTCTACGGTATTTCGTGTATTATAATCCTTTAACTATACCATAACATAGTTACTGATTATTTAGTTAGCCGTAGATGATTAGCCCGATGATTTTATACCCTCTGACTTGGAGCAATAAGTTATATGTTTAAGAAATACATGTCACTATGAGCTGGCCGACTATAGTGTTAATCTATAGGAAACTGACTGGTAACCCGCGGGGGATAACCCTGATCGCTCTACCGAAGATTCTCTTCTAGTTACTGCTTGTCCCGCTAACATGGGGACCGACAGAATGTAATTGTCGTCGATTCACAGAAGATCCCTCCCAGGAAGAGATCTGGCGTTTAGGATTGGAGATTCAGGCGGCATGTGAGCTACTAATATCGCCCTAGGATTTCTTCATGCTGGTCACATGATACATTATACAGCTGTGGAGGTATTTCCACTATAGACAGGGTCTCTTGGCCTTCGGGTTCGAAAAAGAATCAAAGAGCCCCGAGTGGTGACATGACACTCAAGACGTAGGGCGCTACTAAGCTATGGCAACGAAGCAAAAAAGGGGATATAAATATGGATGATGACTAATTACTAATTAGGAAGAACAGAGATATATCCTTCAGGAAAGTCCGGAAAGAGCAAAAAGGTTGGGCTTAGGCAACCAAGCCACCAACAATCTATATTTGCTGTGGCTCATCTCCTACACTTTCATCGTTTCAGGGCCGATGCGTGCAAAGCGCGCGTCTTCCAGTTCAATACGATTCAGTACCTGAAACTGAGCTAAGTCGGAAATGGATTAGCATGTTTCGAAAGAGGGTTCGAGAAAGATACTATGAGAGTAATTTGGTGAAACTGAATTCGATCCACGCTGTAGTAATTAACTGTATTTTCATTTGTACTGGTTAAAATCGAAAGAAATTAGCTGAGACGATTCACAACGTGGCCTTCCCCACATTGTTTTTAGAGATCCACCATAGAATTCCATGGATTTCCATGGGCTTGCTTTTTATACGCGTAATGTAATCTAATGTCGCCTATTACGGTAAGATACGCAGCGCATTTTACTGAGCCCCTCGGTTTGATGCAGCCGGCTCAATAAATGGTTTGCACTAAGGCCTTGGCAGTGGGGCCAGAAAAGAGCGATTAAGTGTGTATCGGTCAAGCCGATTTCGAGAATGACTGTAGAGGCAGAGATTGGTGATGAATGTCGAAGTAGAACGTGAAGACGCCGTTTCGGTAGCCAGGGAGAGGACGCCAGCCTGACTTATTGAAAGGAGAGGGAGGCAAGAAGAGGAAAAGAAGGGCTTATGGGAGCGTCGGGGGGGACCAACCGTCCAAAAAGCGAGGGCCTGTACAAACCATCTTGGAATCGTTGAAGTCGGCACAATTCACTACGCTAAAGCGGCGGGCCCAGGGAAGAGTTACTCAGTCTGTATCGGTCAAGCCAATTTCGTCAATGACTGTAGAGGTTACGATATTATAAGTAATTCATGCACCTACACATCGTGTAAATCAATAGCATCTCATGCGTGATATTGCCGCCCGACTTACGAGACGTTCTTTATGTGATTCACTTAATTGATGGGGGCAAGTACACTGTGGTTTCTAGACTAAGCTTAAGGCAGTTATTTGTTTTCACCCATTAGCTTCCAGCCCTCGCTGATAGGTGTTATATCACCAACGGTACACATTGACTTGAAAGTGCCACTATCAGTTCCTCAATATAAATCCAATTTTCAGGTTCAGCTTAGGGGTCGCACAATTTCTTGATGTAGCATTAATTTAGTAGATACCTGGAGGGCAACAGAAGCTTTCTCGCGCACACCAGGCAAATTTATGATGCGTTTTGTTTGTATAGTGGAACATTATAAGGTGGCTAGCGAGCTTCATTGTGCCGTGATCCAACACCATAGACCGGAGAGGCAATGGAGCTCTTGTTATTTTGTGCTATTTCCATAGGCGGTTTCTTATCAATACTCGTTCTTGTTCGCCTAGCGTCCTTTCTCGCTGAGTCTGCAGATGTCGTATCTCTTTTTATCTCAAAGCATTTGATTTACCCTTACTTAGTCGATCGCCACCGCATTTGCGGCCCTTAGAGTCGAGCTAATCTCTTATTATGTTTTGCATATGCCACGCTGCATGTCTTCTTCCTCTCATTCAGAACGGCAAATGCAGAAATCGCTGGCTATCGAGCGGGAACGCTAGCAGTTATAAACCTGGCTTTGCTAATTCCTACCACGCACTTAAGCTTCCTTGCTAACATTATTGGAGTTTCTTTGGTAGCTTGCAGACGGATGTATCGAGTTGTAGGTTAGATGTCAGGCATGCTCCTTGCCTTCTATATTACCTTGGCTATGACGGTCAGTCAAAGGGAATGGAACTTAGATAATCATAGCAATTTATTTGCTCTTTTTGTATCTTCTACGCCCCACAAACATGCCGATAAGAGCTAAACTACTGCAGGGCGCTGTGTCAATGGTCGCACTTATGCTTCTTTCTTTGCTTTTCATCCGCCGACGATTCTTTGAAGTATTTATCCGCACACATCAATTGCTTGCGGCTCTTTTTATTTACTCCACTTGGCGTTATCTACCAATCGCGGCTTCTGATTCACGGATATACCTTTGTATATCACTCGGGATACTGTCTATTACGACAATCGTGTATGTCGCGATCTTCGCATTTCGAAATGGAATCTTTCTATCACGACACCGCCCGCGTGCATATATTACCTACATAAAATCTAAACGAGAACCACGCGAAAATAGAAGATAAGAATCGAATCGTACTGGCCAAGCGGGGACGCCGCTTAAGATTCGTGTAGTCCTGCCACGTCCGATGTAGGTAAAAGCCGGTCAATATGTGAACCTCTGGATGCCTACCGTGAGCTTGCTATCCTAGGCGTAGTCCTATCCGTTCATGGTGACGTCTTAGTCTCCAGAAAAACAGGAAGTCTTAGAACTCTTTATATAATCGCAACAAGGACTCACAAAGTCTCTTTAAGCCTGCGCAGCTTTTAATGGATTTGCGTCGTATACTGCGTTTGTGAGCGGACCGTACGGTACTAGCAAACCCACGGACGGCTTTGAGTGTGTCCTAGCTATTGCGACCGATTTTGGAATTGCCGGGGTTATCCCTTACTTAAAAAAGCTTTTTTATGGATATAACACATCTACATTATATATGCGTCGCGTGTATTTTGTTTAGAAGGTGCAGACTTAAGGTAAGAACTCCTCTATTGTGATCAAATCATAAGCGCTTATTTCGACGATAGAAATTGCTGTTGCCGCGTAGTCACTATTAAATGAACTTCTCGCTAATGACGTCCTGGATAACGGCTATATGAGTTAACACCTTGTTTCAATTTGTATCATATTAACTTAGTAGTAGATCCTAAAAATTTCGTTCTATTTAGCATTCGGCAAAACGAGAGACGCATTCGGCATCAATAGGCGTGCGTCTGTCTTTAACGTTAGCCCTAATTACGAACATATTGTTTCGGAAGAGGCCTCTAGGAAACATATTGCCAGACTTCTAAACATAAGTGAGGAACAAGGCAAAACACTTGTCTTAGGTTAGCATTTCTTGTCCTTATCTATAAATCAGGTTATTGATGACTTTGTAGTTTCCGCCTCCCCTTAAGTGCGAGACGAGTTAAGAGGAGTTGTGTGTAGACACTTGGATCGGAAACTAAGTCTGCATGAAACAGACTTCTAGCTAGCTTGAATAAGCATAGTTTATTTTGAATTGAGATAGGGCTTGAAGTCCATTTTTGGGAAGTTGTCTGCTTAAATATCATGCCACAGTCATCATCCTTGTGTTGAATGTTAATGTAGATTGAATTTCTGATCTATGCAAATGAGACCTACAGAACCAATCGGTCTATTAATACAAGGTATTAATGAAAAGACGATTCAAGTGTTAAAGAAATTTCACAGACTAACAGTGCTGCGCTTAAGTGCGCCGTGCTGCGCTTAAGTGCGCCCCCTTCTTCTCTCCTTCAGTGCCGTGGCATGATCGCGCAGACTCTTCTATCCCGCATCTCCTATATGTTTCACACTGTTTATATTCAATGATTACCTAGCCTATGCCTCAAAATACACGTTAATACAACATGTTACGAAACAGCGTGTTGAGAGGGAGCGTTCAAGGTTTTATATACAGCACCTCAAGAGCAATTGTCAGCGACGAGCTGAATACCACGAGGAAATATTCTCCGTAGACACGCATTTTTCCTCAGCCCTCACGCGTACCTCTACGAGCCTGCGCTAGGCCTAAGATCTTCTTTAAGTATTTTGTAGTGAAACGAGCAAATACCACCTATATTTTATCTTCGCGAATTGGGCAAATATTCAATTCATCCAACATCCCACTCCAATTCCTCCCCTCCTCTTCCCCCCCCCCGGCCCCCGCAACCACCCACCAGTCAGTTGCCTGGTTTTGTCTGGTAATTTTGGTTCGTAAATAGATATTTGTATCAAACTTCGTTTATAGTGCGATCCGTGTAGGTAGCAGTTGCCATCGAATCTAGTACTCTAACAATTTGCGTGTTCTACGGCCAAACCGCGCGCTACCATGCAAGTCTACTTAATTTTACTATCTACGAACCTTGAGTATTCATATCCCTTGAATTATATGTTCCTACTGTACCCATTTTTCAGTTATAGTTTTAACTGGAGAACAGCTAACCGAATCTTTTCTGTTTTCGTTCTGGTTTCGAAAGGGAAGAACATATAAAGATTGCTTAATTTATAGTCAAGGGCACGGAAAGGTCCCACCTATGGACTTTAAGTTTAGAAATAGAAAAGGGCAACAAATTGGTCGGAATTCGTTAGCTTCGTTCGTAAGTTACACTTAGAATTGCTGCGCTGGGAGGCGTTTTTAGAGCTCTCAAGATCGGAAATAACCATTAGGATTTACAATTCAGAATTCAGAATAGCAAACGGCAGAGACTTTATAGGCTTGCGGGATAGGATCAGGTGTTATATGAATAGAAGATCTTCGCAGAAAGAATAACTATTCGCGCTAGCAGAACCAGTTTCCCCCGGGACCGATTCTTATTGATGAAAAGTGAATTCTTCTGATGATTAGCACATGACATATAACAACAATAGAACTGAAGCACTGATTACCTACTTCAAGGCTTCTATTGATGTTGTAGTAGATATTGCCGAGAGAAAGCCAACGGCGTCAGAATCCACGGGCTATCGATCTAAATCATCAACTCCAACCATCCCATTATCTTTTGTATACTTCTGCATAAGCTCTATAGAAATACCACCAAGAGACTTTATATATGTGCTTTGTGTCTCACTAGGTATTCTTTTTTGGCAGGACTCAAGGTTCGCTTGGAAAGCTCTCAGTAATAAGCTTCTAGAGAAATGAGAACAACGTACTAATTTTGATTGCACCATCTAGGCCCAAAAGGACATACCGGCATGTCATTGACTAGTGTTCCCAACCATTCTCGCCAAGGTAACTAGCGCCGTTAAGGGTCTTCGCATATAAATAAGTCTCCCGTGTTTGAAGTACAAAAGGTGACATACTTGCCAAAGTATTGAGGCTAATTCGCATTTAGACGGGTAAAGGGTACGGCATCCGACAAGGTGTTCTAAAGTGAGGGGTAAGTCGTCCACTAGGGCAAACATGGAGCCTTCGTTTATGAAGCACTCTTGTGCAGACAAAATGTTTTGGTGATAAAGACGGTCGTACACCTCAACCATTTGTCCCACATCTTTCTTGTTGTATTCCCTAAAGGCGATCACTCGTGATAGGTTAGAACGATAGGTGGCAATGGTCACCTTACCCGCAATTATACAAGAGAGAGCTCGCCGATATATGTCCTAAGGAGACTTATATCTCACGATACAAGAATGAGAACCATGGTGGTTTTCACTTATTTAAGCTAACCCGAAATTCTTCGGGCCTCCCCTGATGACTTTCGTCGTTTTCTTACTAAGCGCAGAATAATTTTTCTTTTTTGTATCATCACGCTGCTGCTGTTGTATTGTCCTATTCAACTAAGCTGACTCTTTCACCGCTCCTCTGAAGTCCACCATTGTAATACGCTTATCGCTATGCTCAGACATGGCTGTTATAGAATTGCTCGGGATAAATGGGTTCTAAAGAATAAGGGTTTGGAAAAGCTCTTAGTTGTAGCTCGAGGAGTTAACTTGTATATTAATTAATAAATAGACAATCCTTGGTAGTTTATGTGACCGAGCCATCACTTTTCGGGGCGACTAGGCTCGGTAACGAATTGAATTAATCACTCAATAAAGGGGAAGGAAACAAGGGGGTGACTTTATTTCGCATTTCTGAGGCCGAGGAAAACGATAAGTATAGGTACAACCCTCCCCTACCCCGCTAATATGAGTCTGACTAGCAGCTGAATTCTAGTCATAGAACGGTCTATGTACACAGATCATGAACGTCGTGTGACTAGTGAACGAAGTAAGAAATACCGAGGGATAGCTCTAATCAGCTTGAGCCAGATTGTGCCCCACAATTCTATTTGCCGGGTATTGGATCTAAGGAACGTGGATAGACTATGCGAAGTCTTTAGTAAAGAAGGGTGTCGACGATTAGATGTTCCTAACCATGTCACTGCCGTCGTATCGAGCGGCAGTCTCGATGCTGCACTCCAAAAGTCGCGAACGAGCGCTGCCTAACTAATGAGTGACATATCCGATGAATATCCTTACCTACAGTTTTCTAGTGGGCAAGTGAAATGCCTGCATGGACAGCATCGTTTAAAGGCCGGTGAAGAATTTTTAGCAGACTGCGATTAGTGGTGGATAGTAAATCTATACTTAGATGGTACGTGGACTTCGCTATCTCGAAGCTTATCAATCGCTGTAAGGATTCAAAAATCGGCCGACACTAGACTGCTGCAGAATTTGAAATAGAGCATCTCTATGCGGTACGTGGCACTAACAACTTATAGACATAAGCCCCTCGCTTAAAGCAACTCTCATCGATGAATACTGCAACGAGAAAACCCTAATAGATGGCGAAATATATCGTAAGATTCGCCAATATCAACATAAGGCAAATGCCTATTTTGAGAAACGATAGAAGGCTCGTCTTTCACTAAACAAACTAAAGCGTTTGTAGCAACTTGAATCCCACGATGATGTTCGCGCTATAGTAAATTCTCTATTGGCACTGCTAGCTCTACTTAAGTAGGGAATGAAACTTTGCTCAATCTCCCGGGCTTTAGCTATTAGCTACGATAAGGTTAGTTATATAGTGCAGAATCTTGTCTCTAAATCTAATGAATGTAGGAATTAGTCTACGGTCTGAATGATTTGTACGATTACTAGGCGTCTTTGGTAAAGCATAAGCGTTTAAAAATGTTGAAAATCGACCCCTATTCAATACAATTATTGTAGCTCTTAGCTCCTAGAGTTTCAAACAAAGACAGAAAACTTACAAAAGGGCTTGTTTTTGGCGGCGAGGCTTTCTTAGGATTCACTTCGGTTAAGCGTGCCTCAATCTAGAAAAAAATGAAATCAAGGAAACGCATTATTCCATCACTTTACACTTTTTTCTAGAATGTGTGGTATCTAGAGTCTTCCGCAAATTGCTTAAAGCGACTAGTTTCGCTCAACAAATTTCAACCGACTATCAAACGCGCAATGCGAAATGCATTTTCGCAGCCACCCTCTAAAGGCGGCGACTGCTTAGTCTAGATGTCCGAAACAAAATTTCAGCATTGCAAAAGCCTTAGGATCGATCTTGCCGAACTAGCCTATCGACAAATTTGGCTATATACAATGCGTTATTATCCCAAAATAGCTAAAGAACCCGAGAACCAGGATTAGGTGGTGAAGAGTTAGGAGAAAGCAGACCCTAGAGTCCTTTACGACTTGGCTGTTCTGGCTCGGAAGCTAGGGTATCAATCTGACCAAATCAAAGCTCTGCTAAAGCATTCCCCTGATCGACAAATTGCACGCGAGGCGCTTCTGAAGGCTCGAAACTATATGAAATACAAATATGACAACGACGTTTTCGACTCCCTCGTGGATCGCGTAGCCGAGTGTTTTGAATAGGCTTCGCCACTTGATTGCGACCCTAAGAGGGGACTTATTGACGATAGAGAGACTAAGGTCAGATTTCGATATAGCAATCCGTAAGCCAAGGCCTAGAGGCAAGACCGTTGGTTTCTCTTCGTCGACTAGCTCTATACTGCATGGCCATCGACCACCAAAAAAGTCTCCACTTTGTTTATGAGACAATATGTGTATTACACATTCTTTAACTAGTTAGAATTCAGTCCCCCTAGTGCCGAAGATCAGCGTCCGATGTCGCCGCTTTTCGTCACCGAGGAAAGCTCTGAAGCGAACATACGTTCTAGTAAAGAAGAGATATCTCAAAGCCGAGCATATTCACGAGTAATTGATCGGAAAAAGCTTAGAAAAGCAAATCGGCGTGGCTGCCGTCGAGAAACGCGAGAGAGACAAAACCTATAAGGAAAAAAGCAGAGGCGGCGAGAACATAAGAGCCGAAAGCACCAATTGCCTCGCTCTTATCAAGAGCCGTTAAAATGGCGTGCGTCAGGAAATTCTCTAGTAAGAATCAGCAGTGCGCACGATAGTTCAAGTGGTATAGATCGGTCGTCCCATTTAGGAGAAGAGGAAGCGTGCCGTGTCGATTACAGTGAGCGTTTGTAGCAAAGCTCTGAACTTAGTATAAATAACGACACGGAGATATCAGACGACATAGGCACGGGGTCTGCGGGGGACCTAAATTATGAATATCCAGCCGACGACCTCATATCTGTTAAAATTGCGCACGAGCAGATGCAGAACACAGGCAGCCAAAGCTTAACGTCCATAGCTACTAAGCAGCACATCCCGGAAGAACATTTAGAATAGAGTAATCAACGCGAGGAAGAAATGACAACAAACGATGCATATAAGCATGCAAATATAGAACAAACCGGAGAACTAGAACCAACAGAAGTGGTCCCCCAATAAGTCGGTTCTCCCTCTGCCTATATGCTGTCTAGAACAAAGAGTGTAGTACGTCCTAGGAGTCGAAGCGACGCCAAATAGAGTCCTTATGATATAACATAGCGGAAAAAGCAAGACAAGCCTTTTATTACTAAGCAACCATATAACGTATTAGAACGATAGATCGATAAGCTATTGCAGCTAAGCGAGGTATCTAACCGGGAGCGTCTAATCAGCCTAGTGACCTAAATAGACTTTATAGAGATGTCTTTTGAGCCGCTAAGGGCTAGTCAGAACCAGGAAGAAGCCGGTTTAACTGATGGACAAGACTAGGGCGTATCTACGCAAAGCTAGACCCCTTAGGATGCAACTATTACGACCTCCGCGGATATTTTTGACCCCGGGAGTGATGAGAATAAGGAATTTCGGGAGTCCACGGGGAATAGGGACAACTATTCGACGTAGGCTGTTGAACTAAGCACTGTCTAAATGGCAACTAAGAATATCCTGGCAAACGAAGCAAACCCGGTAGGGGATGACTAGACCAATTTGTTAGAAAATCTGATAAGTGCACCGATATCTCCCGAAAGCCTAACAGACCCTAAGTCGTAAATACCTACGTATGTCGGACAGAAATCCAAACGAAACGGAGTGATTTTTGAGCATCCAGAATCTAAGCAGCCACCGGCGGACGACATACTAGGGAATATATTAACCGAAGTTTAGGCTGCTCTAGTGGAGTCCCGGGCAGGGGAGGACTATAAGCCACCCACTTTAACAACGCTAACCGATCAACCGGTAGAAAGACACGTAATTGGAGAACAGCCGCCTATATCCGAGAATGTTGTCGCATCTCAATATAATAGCAAGGCTAGGGAGAGTCTGCAGAATGACACGATAGCAGCGCCTTATATTCCTAAACGACGCCGTGACGAAACACTACAACGTACGGGTATCTCTGGAGCTTCCGATCATATGATGGTAGACGGGCCGTCGGGCAGAAAGAGAGGAATCTTGTTCGGTCATCGACGCCCCCGGAAAGAAGTCAAGAAGCTAAGGGCAATCACGCAAATTGATTTCACAAACTAGAGTGACGTTGCTACTTCACAAGGAGACTCCGGGGATCCTGGTGAAGCGAATGCAATGTAAAAGGGGTTATTAGCTCCTAAACGGTGGAACGACACAAACTAGTCGACCTTGTCAAACGACATGGACATAGACGATAGTGAGGAAAGTTACCTCGCACGTGCTGAACAATCTAAAGCCTAGACTGTTGATTATGAGCCACAGCTTGGGGAGAATCAAAAAGTCCGTATCGTTTTTAGGGGAAGAGATAGGCGGGGTGGATGGGATCACGTGATTAATTAGATAACGGTCGATCCGTCTGACCTAGGACCGGTGGAAATATTCGCCAAGGAGAAAGCGAGGGAACAAGTTCCGGCAACTTTCTATGACCAAAACCTTCGCACGATTGTCCCTGCGCAGTGCTTTGATACGGCTGTCTAGGATGGTACGAACACCATCTTTGTGGCTTTTGGTCATGAAGTGGCTCGCAATAAGGAGAACATAGGCTCTGTTTCGCGTGCTCTAGCGGGTGGTAGTGATCAAAGCGTGCCGGATGATGTAGCCTCGCTCTAATAATGAGTTTCTGCTCTAAGAGACCCTATTCATGATCGAATTGGCACTGTAGCCGCGTGTTCCCTGGCCTGTTAGGTTAGTAAGCCCCACCGGTTGCTAGTTGGCGCCCAAAGAGCCTAGCTAGCCCATGGTCCGTGGCTCATAGGCCAGCTGGGCTCTTTGGCCGTCAACTAGCGACCGGTGCTCACGGCCACTTGATTTCGTCCTTTATCTCACATGCCACTGCCTTTTAACCATGACCATTTGGCGCAAGCTCTGGAACAGCAGTTAGTCGGCTATAGTTTACTGCCATCGGATTTGTGATAGTTGATCACCGGCGAATTAAGATGCTGAACTCCTCACATTGGCCCTCCATGGCCTTGAATCAATGTATGAGAGGCTTTCATAGCCAGGTGGCCCATTAGGCCCTTACAACCAGTTACATTGTCTATTGAGGCTGTCATGCTACATGTACGTCCAGTGGACATCCAAGTGGAACTCCAGATGCTCTTGAATAATTTTGCCTGAAAATAGCTTGTTTATACGATACAACTAAACAAAGATTTTTTCTAAGGCGACCTGAAAACTTCCTTATAAACATTTGGCCAAAAGCCCCCCTTGCTTGATTCATCCGATTTGTACCTTGTACTTTCAAGATGTGGGACCTAGCGATGTCTTTACATTCCATGTTGCTCTGTCATAAGCAAGCCCTTTTACCCCTAGAAGCCTTTCCCCTGATCAGAACTCGCCTGTTCAATACTTGTCCTCCTAGGTTCCATGCCACTCATTTTCTCGTTAAGTTTCCGGTTCTTCTGTTCAAGTTCTTCGATATACCGGGACATGCTGCAAAGCTGGGCGTTTAATTCAAGATGTTGCTTTTCGTAGGCTCTTTCGTAAGCCCGAAGCATGCCGTCTTTTTGGTAGCAATGATGTTGAACAATCGTGAATTCGTTATAGATCTTCGCGATAATTGTGTCTAGTAACGGCCTTGGAGGTTGTATAGCTAGTTTAATTTGTGCCTGTTAGCCTAAATTTACCTTAGGGCACGAGGAAAAACCAAAGTACCAACCTGCATCCATGCTTTGAGGTAAGGGGGTATCCAGGAAAATCTTTCGTTGCGAAGACATCCTGGTGCCGTTGAGCCTAATGTTCAAATATTCAAGTGTAGTTGGAGGAATGGGGTGAAATTAATTACATTCAGAAATGGGAGGTTGTTACCTTTAAATGTTCTCAGCGAATTACAGTTTGCGTCATTAATTTTGAAGCTCTGTTATGATATCTATAGAGGGGAAGATATCCTGCGAAGTCATCAGGATAGGGTATTAATCACTCAAAACGGAAGCTCGAGTTCCTAGGAGGGATTTGCTCAGCAGGTCTTGAATCATCTGTTGTGCCTTAGTACCCAGGAACTTGGTATAAACTCCTAGAAACTAGAAGGAAGACAAACAGCTGTTTGGGAATACGTATGGGTCAGTGTGGCTATCCTTAACTCTAAGAAGAAACGTCTGCGTTGAAAAGGAATTGGTTTCTACATGTCCAGCGAAAATTAGATAAACAAGCTCTGCTTGTTCTTTTGTGCACCTGTTATGTCATCACCACGAGTTACTCATGTATGCTTGTGATCTCCCTAAGTACCCGCAGGGGCCACAGGGGGCGAAGGGATGACGTAGAAAGTACGAACTTGCAAATTGTCATTCATTTGTCACCGACGCCATTTTTCGCGACACCAATGCTCTAGGAACACGATTGTTCATTCTCCTTACTTGACCCCTCGAGCTTGCGGGGGTGCTATGAATAGTATTCCTGATAATTTCGGGGCAACTTGGCTGAAGGAAACCTAGTTGAAATGGCGTAATCCTCTCTCAATTCCTCACTCCATCTCACCCATTACTTCCTACGAATCCATCAGTTCCTACGAATCCACCACTCTCTATCCAGTTCATCACTCTCTATCCAATTCATCACTCCCTGTCCAATTCAATACTCCCTGTCCAATTCATCACTTTCTTCGAATTCATCACTTTCTTCGAATTCATCACTTTCTTCGAATTCATCACTCCCGTAAACTGAGCGCTCATAATATGTCGGATGAACTACGGGAGGAGTTTCTAATTGGTTGAGAAACCCGGATGTTGTCGTCGTATCTTCCATTAGATATCAATTCCAAAAGCCTTGCTGAGAACCATACGCTTTCCCTACAGTCATTCTCGAAATCAGCTTGACTAATAACACTAAGTAACTCTCTTCTGCATCTGTCACTTAGGCTTTAGCGCAGATAAGTCATTGAGTAGACCACAAAAACTGAAGGGAAATAGGAAAATGCTTTAGTATGGTCCTATATCCTGCCACGTATAGTTACATTCTACACTTTGACCGTTAAATGGTAGAGCTTAATGTCACTGTACTATATAGCGGCAGAACACATATGGCATAGAACTGCGGCCCTCACTTTGATACGGCTTGGTCAAGCAACTGACTACGCTAAAGTCTTGGCGGCGGGCCCAGGGAAGAGTTAGTCAGTCTGTATCGGTCAAGCCAATTTCGTGACTGACTATAGCGGCAGAACACAGATGGCATAGTACTGCGGCCTCACTTTGATGCGGCTTGCTCAATACTTTCTCTAGGCTAACGCCTTAGTGGTGGGGCTAAAAAGACTTAGTGTGTATTGGTCAAGCCGATTTTAAGGAGTGACTGTACCCTGATCTTATCTGTTGCGTTCGGCTATATTGGGGCGATAAGAGATACCTTGGACATAGGTAGCCATTGCTACCTACTATTACTATAAACTCCCGAATACATAACAGTTTCTGTTGGCCTTTTCGCGAAGTATATATACAATAACAATTCTCCTTGAATGCGGCCCACATTGCCTATCATCAGTAGGAATCTTCGAAATATGACAAGGTCAAAGCAAATACACACAACTATTTCGCAGAATTCCTTGAATACTAGTGGCCAATGTTCTAATATATGTCTCCGAACTAAAAAGACTAAAGATGCAAATGGAGGAAGCTCCTTATTGTGGCGCTCAGTGGTTCTGCTCTGTTGGTAACACCACATCTCCCACTATAATTGTCCTGCTACCCGGGCCCTTCCTAATGTTCTCGCCTTCCTTTGTTGACATTACCGCGTATCTACCAAATTGAACTCTACCATCGACTTTTCGCATCTTAGGCAGCGCAGCAAATATTTCGTTGCGTCTTACGCCCGTAGGCTGGTCAACGTATAGCATCTGACAGCGCTGGCAAGGGTCAATGGTATCCAAGAGGAGTTGGTCTTGCCTAATACGAATGGATGACTAGTGGTCTTCGGCGTAGGGGCGTTCAGCACGAGCTACTTGACAGGCCCGCTTAGCAACAACGATGTTGCTCGTAAACAAATCTGCACTAATGGCTTTGCTCACGCCAGAGGTAGGCTTGGAGTTTGCTCTGATTATCTTGTTGAGATGGTTGACTGATGACCTGGATACGATTAAAATGGACATTTCGTTTGATACGAGCACGTATTTTTGGCAATTTTGGCGCGGTATTCGGTCTACACGCGAAGAGGAATCCAAGGTAGCAAGCCTCCGGAACCGATTCTTCTAGATACTAGCGAGGTTTGATGGTTTTATATTGAGTTCTGTATCAAGTGAAGAGAACCGCGCGAGAGTACAAGCTACACCTAAGAGCTCTGTAAAGAATGCCGAGACCACTGGCGAGGCGTAGGCACGAAGGCATGAGCTAGGCTCGTAGGCACTGGGTACTCTTTTTCGACAACTCGAGCGCACTAGAGAACTCATAACACTCGTGCTTTTGGCATCCCAAATAAGCGGAATTTCGAGGCTGAATGGACCATCTGTGGCCTTGGGGTTATAGGTGATGCGGAGTATGCCGCGTTCTAGATCAACAGATGGATATATAGACGCCATCTGAGGATATTCTTTCTGCTTCATGGGAAAGCCGGTCACCTGATGAACGAGGTACTATTCTCGGTCCCATGCAAGCCCTTCTCTTTTGACCTCCTAACGCTTGCCTTTAGGAATCTTGAACGGGCCATAGCCTTTGATGGGAAATATTGTTAGACTCTTAACATAAAACTAAGGGGCGATTGTATTGTTTGTATCCATCGGAGGACTCAATGACACCAAAGGAGGGACTTTCTCTATATAAAACTCCTCGACGACTTCTGTTAGTGAGTCTATATCCTTTAGATTGCTCATTGCTCCTAGACTAACACGCAAAATGCCAGTTGGTCGGCCACCTAACATATCATGGTTATCACCGCAGCGTAAACCAGTGGCATAATGGCGACGTAGCTCTTCTCCTTCCTATCCAAGAGACATGGCCGTTCCTCTAGGGTTGCAGACAGAACTAGAACGTAGTTAGATGTTGTGTGCCGTTGCTAGTTTTTCTACCTCGGACTTAGGGATCCACTCGCCGTGACTGTTCCTCATATTAAAAGCGATGATCGGGCCTTGGAGGGTTAGGTTCCTATAACTCGATTGGTATATCTCATAGACCTTTATGCTATTGAAGTGTCTCAATATAGAGAGTCGATTATAGACTCTCTGAGCGAGGAACCTAGTATAGGAAGAAATATTCGTTATTAACCCGTACAGACGTTTGTGCGTCTTTAGGGCGGCATTAAGTGCAATAATGCTGTGAAATAGAAGGGTGCCATCCTCAAGCCGCTCATAGATTGAGGTTTCTTTTTTGGCATGCCATTATGCTCCGGATACTATCACCATATCCACGGTACCCCCGCCGAAAAACTTTCGTCGCTTAAGTGCGGATACAGTGCTTTTCCGGACAACCAAAGCCCCTAAATCAGGGAATCCAAAGATTTTGTAAAAGCTAAGCGCCGTAAAATCCGGAGCGGTAGCTGTATCACTTAGGTTAAGAGGAGTAGTTGATAGAAACGAGGCGGCATTAAGCAAGGTGAATATATTCCTTCCTTCGTTAGCAGCGGAACGGATTTGCCCGCACCACTAAAGTGGGAGACGTCGACCGTTTATGTTTGATTAAGCTAGAAAGGCAAACAGCTTGGGAATTTTCGACTAAGCTGTGTCTAGCTCAGAGATCTAAGCGTCTACATCGGTATCATCGAAACATTGATAGCCTATATCCGCGAGTTCCCGAACACCAACCACGCTAGTGTGGGCATCAACGTGGTACCTATACCAAAATCCCCTAGGGTCATCTCGAAAAGATTCTCTAATAAACTTAATAGCTGCTGTCGCATTTGCCACAAAAACCACATCAAACTCATCGGGGCTTGCATTGAAGAACTAGAGGACTCGGAGTCGCACGTCGTCTGTCCGCTCTGTAGACAGTCGTGATGATACAGACATCGAATAGGGATTTCCGAAGAGACTGGATATCATATCATCCGAGAATGACTCGATAAATGATTTGGCATAGAGTGTTGTTCCGGCGTGGTCTAGATAAGTTGTTCCTACAACCCGTGAAAAAAGGGTAGTCAGTACAGATAATCAAGTAATATCATATGCTAGGCCATACCATTGAGAAGAGGATACTCATGTTCACGGATGGTATCCGTATCCGCAGAGTATCCCTGGCCATATCGGGAATAGACGAATTCTTCCTCAATGCTCTCCATCATAAAGTGGGTGGACGGAATCGAAGAATGTAGCGTGTTCGTTTGTGAAAATACCGTGCCTTTGCGAAGTTGATGACTCAAGTGGTGACTGTTTCAATGAGAAAAATATAACCGCCGTAGAGTTTTGGCGGTAGACGTTTATAACTAGGATAGATGAAAGGGGAAACAGTCTTTTGTGGTCATATATACCAGGCTACTTGGTAGGGTTCCTGATGACGACGTAGGTCCCTGTCTAGAAATGTTTGTGCTAGAAGTGGAGATGAATAATTGTTCGCGATGAAAAGACAATCTTTGGATTAATTACCTCCGACTAGCTTACTGTAAATGTTCACCGCAATCCACCAATTGCGAGGAGGCCTGTTTAACTCCTTGCAACCATCAAACCGTCCATGGTTTGCGGTGTCTTCATCTAAAGCTCGACGACTACAAGCGCGACCTTAGTCAAATTTCCGCGGGGCATTATACGCCTGACAGGCTGCATAGTCAAGCGAAATATGCCATCCACATACTTAACATCCCTTAGATCAACAGCGTTCCATGCAACAATAGCAAGCAAACCCGACTACATTGTAGACTTAACACACAAAATTGGCCAATTAATGGTGTGATGGTGCAGCAGCAACTTTGCTCGTTAGAGATTTCTGAGATTTGCCCGGCGCAATGGACAGAAGTTGATGTCTAACAAACAACGAGCTATAGTGATTCTTGAAATCGGCTTGACTAATGCACACTGAGTAATTCTTGCTGGCCCCATCGCCAAAGCTTAGCGCGGATGAGTATTGAACAAGCTGCACCAAATCGAGGGCCGCAGTATTATGCCCCATGTAGTACAGTCGCGATTGAGATTATCATCCAACGGTAAAACCATAAGATGTAATTTTATGTTGCTATTGTAAGAAAATCTACGATTGGCCCTGCTCTGGCTCATTGACGACATAGCGGGCCTGAGTTCGATTTCAAGGCGTTCAATACAGGGCCTCAGATAGGAAGCGAGCAAAAGAAATCGGTGTAGGTTTACGAACCTAAGTACTACAGTACAGCGCTTGTTAACTCTAGGGATTCTGATTTACAGGTTTCTCTAATACTTATCCAACCCCAAACTTTCATACACTTTGCGGGCTTAGGTCAGTAAAGACCTAGATATCCAAAAGGAAATTATCTTGTATGTACACTCGACGATACCGTACGAACATTCGATTCTGTTGATTTCGACGTTTATCCCGGAGCCAAACAACCCGACATGAGCTAGGCACCAGGCGGGCCTCCGCGCGTCAGAAACCGATACCCAGTTGCGTAAAATGCGAGGATGTAGCGTTTTAGTCTATCAAGTACCTCCTTTTTAACGTCGCAGTCACAATGTCTGGGGCCTCTACAGGGAGTGATTGGCTGTAATTCCTGCAGGGTGGTGGGGTTAGGTTATGCCCTATATACAAAGTTGTTCTGGCGGAACAGGCGCTTGAAAGGACATATCTTGCGTTACCGTGTACGGAGTAGCTGTACGGAAGAGGAGAAGCGAGTGCATGTGGATGTGTAAATGGATGCAGAAGGGAAAGACTATCTGAGTGAGAGAGAGAAGCCCCACAAATATACCACAGTACATACCAAGCAGGAGGTCAGGTTTATTCTGCTAAGCACAGCTACTTGGTTATGAAACCAACCTAGCATGCTGATAGCCCAGTATAGCCCTCTAAGCCGAGAAGCGTCAACCCTCTCGATCATGATTTCATTCACCCGTTTCTTCGGAAGGCCAAACGATGAATGCACTTTTCGGACTAAGAAGAGCAGGTGGTCCTGAGAAAGACTCTTTTGGTCTTGTTTCCATCGAAGCTGGCCATGACGCACCCGTGCTGTCGCTCTTGATAATGCTGCTCGGAGAGACTCTATTTACGTCGAAAGAGTTTAAGTGTGGTGTGTAGCCATGGCTTGACTGGTGTTGTCCTGATTGTATCGTCTGTGGATTCTTCACGGACACCGTGATATGTGATTTGTCCTTGACGTAAACGCCTCCGGTTCGAGTCGTGGGATGAATGTAAGAGCTAAAAGCCCGGCATGTCAGCCGGATTATGACACCAAAAAGAGTTGACTTTACCGAATCAAGACTCTCGTTGTGTTAGGGTCTGTCTAAATCGCCGTCGTATAAGCGGCATACATCAGTGCCCGAGCAATGGCTTCATTCTTTGGCCGTGCGATCTTCTAGATATACTCGATTGTCTGTGTAGCCATGGCAGCAGTGTGGCTGATGGGGCCAAATTTATATACGGAAGGATATGCCCCAGAAGAGGTAAGATATAGAAATAGAGAAATGATGGGACAGAAGATAGAGCAGTCAGCATATCCCTTATAAGCCATTCAGACCTCTCTAAGATTCAAGTTCGTTGTTTTCTTAGCCGCCGATACTTTCTTTTGGCTTGAGCTGTATCATCTACGCTATACTCCTGCTAGAGAAGACTACGTAGTGGAGTTTCAGAGTCGATAAGGATCAGTGAGGAGGAGCAGGTTTGGCCTATCATTAGCCGCCTCCGCTTGCCACAAGACCTGGCTACAGCTAATCAATCAGAGAATTCAATGTTGGCCATGTAGGTGCCACGGTGAAGCAGTCCACTCGGAAGAGGCGAAGCAGATGATCGAGAGTTTTGGCGGCCTTGGCAGCGAGGTCATCCGTCCCACACCGCCTTTTAGTACTGCTAGTAACAGCGCGTCACTCGATTAACTCTCATAAGGACAAGAACATGAACATGAACCCTGGCTAGAGACTCTCTCGCTTATTCTGCCAGCTCGCAATACTTCGTCGACGAAATCAGAATATCTTCAGGCGCCAATTTCCATTCACACCAAAGATCAGCCATTATCACAAAGCCTTTCCGTCGCCACACCCTTTTCGATGCCTTTATGCCATGGCTGACTCGTCAGCCCTACCAATAGAAGATATATACCATCCTAAGGTAGATGTTGAATATTTCGAGGACTATGTGCCCGGTGGATACCACCCAACTCTCATCGGGGATACTTTTTGTAGTGGCCGCTACACCGTCGTTCACAAGCTTGGTTTTGGTGGATATTTAACAATTTGGCTAGCCCGGGATCAGCAACGCGGGCGCTACGTATCGCTAAAGATACTGACTGCGAGAGCATCGATAGATAGTCACGAGGGTGAAGTCCTGTATTACCTGACGAAGTGCGATCGTACTCATCCTGGAAAGCGATTCATCCCGCCGCTATTGGACTAATTCTCGTTTTATGGTCCAAACGGACATCATCGGTGCTTGGTCGGAGAGCCTGCTGGTGGTAGTATTGCCTAGTCCAAGGAGGACAGCACAAATTTCATGTTTCCACCGGACGCTGCTAGATCCACTGCCGCGCAGCTCCTCTTAGGGTTGTCTTACTTGCATGCAAACGGCATATGCCACGGAGGTGAGGATAATTATGCTGTGCATATACCTTTACTAATGCCACATACTAACCGCAGGCAGATCTCCACTTACGCAACTTTCTCTTACGCGTACCAGACTTTGACAGCCTAAGCGTAGATAAGCTATACAAGCGCTTCGGTAAACCCTACGAGGTTCCTATCCGCCGAGTGGATGGGAAGCCTGGTGAACCACACGCACCGCCGTATGCCATCTATTCCATGGTTTTGAGCATGCCTGCCAACGAGGTGCATAATCCGGAAATCATCATCTCGGACTACGGAACGTCCTTTATTGTGGCAGACACACCCACACCGACTCTCCATACCCTAGCTCTCTACTCTCCACCAGAAGACTTTTTCGACGAACCTATTATCCAGCCCACCGCAGCTGATATATAGACCCTAGGTGTCAACTTGTACGAGGTCTTAGGCGAGCGTCCACTCTTCGAAACATTTTCCTAGGACCGAGATGATATTGTCGCCGAAATGATCAATACGCTGGGCTAACCGCCCTAGAGATGGTGGAACTCTTGGCATAAACGTTCCGAATTCTTCAAGGAGGATGGGTCATGGGTCGATGACTTCCGCCGTATCGGCACTCCCGTTTTCCGGCCTCTACGCCAGCGCCTCTAGGACATGGGCCGTGGTGAGACAGAGCAGACGTGCGAATAGGACGTTGTAGGCGGGGAACTAAATACGTTGGATGACTTGCTAAGAGCTATGATGGCGTTTGAGCCGGCAGAACGACCTACAGCAGACTAACTCCTAAGGTATGAGTATATGGTGAAGTGGGCGTTGCCCGCGTGGGAAAGGCAGAAAAAGCAGGAAAGTGCCCAACCTACAGATGAGGAGCATTAGGCTGCTCGCGCCCATGTAGACAGAAGAAGCGCCGACGGATATGCTTTGTCCTAAAACCCGAGCAGCCAAGATAGTGTGAGTGTCGTTATACTTGATATTAACGGGCGCCCGTCTATCTTAAATGTAAGCCGTTTTCTAAGGCCATTGTCAAAGATAGTCTCTGAACTTTTGTATGAATATATGCGTATAACAAGATTTCTGCGCTTACGCCCCAAGATGGCCGAGAACTGGCAATTACACGTCTGCAAAGCTGATGCGGGGCAAAGTCCTGTTATATAGCACGTCACAAAGTGCCTCGGAACAGTCTTCTGTTTGTTTCATTGGGCCTCAGCAAACATCTTTATCCATTTCTATTGACAGTCAGGTGGGGCCGTTTTTCTCAGGGCGATTGACTAGGTTATAGGGACTAATCTATTAGTTTTCTACTTCCTCCGTGGACAACACAACCTAATCCTCTAATGCTTACTAACAAAAGCTCCTTCGCAACTGCCGCAATAATGATAGGTGTGTATGGTGTTCATTTTTTCAGCCATGAATTGACTCTGACGTTAAAATACAGCCTACGTTGAGTACTAAAAGTAGCATGGCTAAGTACAGTAATGAGTACTGTATTATAGTAAATGTTATGTGGCAATCAGAATAGGATATTTCAACATGTCCGTCTCTCACATTTTTACGCTGACGAAGTCCTTGGGGGCTGCTGTGGGTGGCTGGGTTTTAGCGATTGCGGTGATGTTGGCTATATAGTATTAATGTATCTACGAAGAAGATGATTAATTTGGCTCGCTCAACTGATAGATATATCAATCTACGTTCTTTCCAGTTCGCGAACTATTTCTTGTCCCTAGCTTGACCACATGGTGAAGCTGGCATACCGCCCCCAATTCCGATTGCAATGGTCGAATTCAATGACAGAGCCCCCCTCATTGTAACACTATGGTCAGGCAACATCTCTTCAGAATCACACTTACCAGGTTTAAAAGCATGTGATAAAGTGCCGCTCGAACGTATGAATCGTTCAGTTAGTGGTGCAGTAAACTTTGTCCCTTGGGCAGTGAAAGCCACCGGAGAGAATGATTGGGGCAATTCTGTATCGGATACATAATCTGACTACTTATCATAGACCAAGCTGAAAGTCAGTAGTTTGGGAAATTACTGTGCCAGTTTTACCTGAAATATATTCTTCCCATCAGTACTAGATATGCACTAGCAATTACATAGATTATATCATGAAACGTACTATGATCGGGCGCCCGAGAACACGACTAATTAGAGCTCGCGTTTATATGATATAGTTCCCGAGAATCTAGTCATGAGCATGCTAAGGTCGGAACAAATACGTAGTACCTTACGAAGCGAGCAAGCACCTGTAGTTATAATTAATCCAAGCTGCTCGATTAGCGTCTTTGCGCACTTTTGCTTGACACACGCTATTGTACTGTATGACGGTTAATTCTAAGTAATAATTGAAACTGATTCTGAGAGATCAATCTATGTACTTGATTTCCTCTGCCATTTTTTAGCGCTCTCTTTCCGTATTAGTGCTCAGACCTTGCCGCTTTTTACTCACTGAGTAGATCTAAGCACGCCCCTGAGCGCCCTGATTCGCTCACTGAGCATTACATAAGCGCTCTGACCTGCTCACTAAGCAACTACTGACTGCGAAAAATAGTGTGTGCACGCGTCATAGAGACTCGGTCACTACGCCGCAACGAGCAGTTCGTCCAGTACCATCAGTGGATACCTAGATACTTCACCTGTGCCTGTGCACTTTGCTGGTAAAGAGTCGGGAGTCACCAGTCTTCTCAAAGGAATCCTGTTTCTTGGGGCCAGGCTATGAATGGGTCAAAGCCCGAACCGGAAGAACTTCTCTTCTCAGTTGATAAGCTTTGCCTGCACCGGGTACCATGGGAGAGAGAAAGGCCTAGATCGATGCGCCTGCATGCTCAAAATCTATTTGAATTACCTGATCGGGAAGATGTGAAATTGCATTTCGCGGCCTACAAAAGTTCGCGGGCGATGCAGCGGCTCCTTCCAGTTGTGGACTCCGTTCTTTTCGAAGATACGATCGATGCGGCTTATCAGCAGCAGTCTACTACCCTCATATACCCGGCCAGTTCATGAGCCTGTGTGTCTGGTTTCATGGCTTTTGTGTCCTGCCTGCCTTCGTTTTAAGGTGAGTCGATGTTATTTTCTCACAAGGTTTAGCAGAGATTATTAGTAGCAAGGTGAAGATTCAAAGTTTAATGAATTATTTTTTGAAATAATTTGACTAATCGCCCCTGGATTGATTGCTTCTTTTCATTGTGAGGTGGATAAGTCGGTACTTAAATAGCCTGTGTGCTTCATGATATCCGTTTCACTTCAAACCTAATCCTCCAGCTTAGATGAGGTAAAATCCCATGCAACAGGACTGTACTCAGTCGTCTCCAATTGGCGTTCTCAATGATGCGTGACGGTGTGACGCTCTTGGGTAATGGAATGAAACCCCTGTCTAGACTCCAGCGAATGAGTATCTGGGCCGGGGTCTTGTTGTACTTGTCTGCCAGATTCTTGACCGAGGATTCCTCGAAGCGGCTGCCGCGCACAACAGGGCAGTACGCTTGCATGACGATGCCGCGCGCACACACCACTCGACGATGTCCTTTCGGCACAGCCACGGGTGTGGCTCGACTTGGTTGATGCTAATGATACCTCCATTGCCATTACCACCTCGCTGCTCTTCAAGCTCTCTAATGTGTTTTTCCAGCTCATCCACGTGGAGCATACCGTAGTTGCTAACGCCGATAGAACGCGCCTTGCCAGCTTCAACATTTTCGACTATCTGCGTGGAGACCCCCTTCTCATTATTCTTTATATGAATTAGGTCAAGCCGAATTTTGTAAATCTCAGCTTTCTTCAACGCCTATAGGTTCTCAATAGGGTTCAAATTAGGCGAATGTGGAGGCTATTCCATGACTTCAATCTCTAGACCTTATAGGGCGTCTCGGACAATATGTGCTGTGTGCGTTGGCGCCTTATCATGCTGAAAAATGCAGTCCTCGTTGGCTATTAGGATAGGTAGGATTCGGAGGTATAAATGTCGGATCGCGACGCTATCCACACCTCCACGCTCCGAGTCCGGGTCTCCGAATAGCGGAATCAGCCCTGTTCGACGCGTAGCCCCCGAAAAAGCAGCACAAAACATCTGCTTATTTTGCTTCCCTTTTTATGGGAGACCCTAGACTTGTCCGAGTCGAGGCTGGTCTTTTAGACGGGTAAAGTCTATTCACGGCGTATGCTAATGCCACTTTCAACTGTACTCAATATCTGATCCACAAATGTGTCGATCTTACAGCTCCATGATGAACGTGCGTACATACGTGAATGGGCCAAAGGCATTGAAGTTGAACCTTGGCTCAGGAAGATTACGTGATCTCTCCGAACAGAGCAATGACTTATCCTAACAATGATGTCGGGTGGAGGAACTAGCGCGTTAGAAATTTATGCGTAGTCACTGTACCGTACAGTTATAACCTGGCCTAGTGTAGTGGCAGCGCCGGGGGGGAGGAGAGGGGAGATAGGATAGATAATTGGCCCGAGGCCGAGGAGCGTGGGCTGTGTTTTAGGGGGGCATGTTAATTCCTTCCCAGTAATATGGGAGTGGCAATAATTGATAAATAGGAACAATTCACGATTGACTGTTTAATTTGAACGAGATCGGCCAAACCGAGAATGCTGAGAAATGAGTTCCCCCGACTCCGGTCACGATCCAGTATTGGCCCTTAGTGTGTGATAATTACGAGACTTAAAGTTCATGAACTGGTGGTTCAGAATGCCTAGCACTCTGGAACCCGCCTTCCAAATTCGTAATATTCGGTAGCTCCCCGTATTCACGCCAAGGTCAGCCTTTTATGACAAATCCCTTCGTAGAATTGATGGTATATAACTGTTTCGTCCCCCAGAAATTTGGGGAGATTCTACTTCTACATCAACGTTCAACATCGAATACTCCGGATATTCCGTACTACATTATGGAGGCCTTTCGCGGGCAATTGGAATCAATCCCTATTCCCCAAACCTCTTTTGCAGGCCAGACCATCATTGTGACAGGCTCGAACACCGGCCTGGGATATGAAGCGGTGCGGCACTTCGTGCGACTCGATGCGGGACAAGTCATTCTCGCGGTGAGATCGGTAAAAAGGGTGAAGCTGCTAAAGCCTCTATTGAGGCTTCCTCGGGTCGAAAAAACGTCATCGAGGTATGGCAGCTAGAAATGGATAAGTACGATTCAATCAAAGCCTTCGCTTCCAGGTGCAATTCATTGGATAGGCTGGATGTCGTGGTGGAAAATGCTGGTATTCTAAGCAATACTTATGAGGAGTCTGAAGGAACTGAGATCAGCATTAAGGTCAACGTCATCGGGACCTTCTTACTAGCGCTGAATCTATTCCCAATCCTGCGGAGGTCGCAAGCAAGGACTGGACAAATATCGAGACTAGTTATTACCAGCTCCTTTGTCCATTATAATGTAAGAACCCCGCCTTCTTCCCTCGCGTGTGATTATCAGTTCTTATTTTCGAATCTAACGACCCGAAGGCCAAATTCCGCGAACGGCATGAGGACTCAATCTTCGACGCCTTGAGTAATAAGAAGAAATCCAACATGAACGATCGATACAACGTGTCGAAGTTGTTGGAGGTTATGCTTGTCCGTTCGATTGCTGCAGCAATGAAGGATAGTCCCCACGCCGCGGAGCCCATAATTCTTAATAATGTCCACCCCGGCCTGTGCGAGTCAGAGCTCGACAAAGATGTCAAGGTATGATCACAATTCCTTGCAACCTTTTTATTCCGTTTCTCGGATAAATTGCTTAGTCAAGTTATAGGGACTTGCTAGCTATCTACTCGCATTCGCCAAGGCACTAGTTGCGCGAACGACGGAGGTTGGTGGACGTACACTCGTCCACAGCGCAGCCGCTGGAGATGAAAGCCATGGACAGTATATGAGCGAGTGCAGAGTCAGAGAGCCGAGTGCTTTTGTCAGAAGCAAGCAGGGCGCAGAGACTCAAGAACGTGTGCACAAGGAATTGATGGCCATCTTGGAGAATATTCAACCAGGAATCACAAGGAATATCTAAGCGAATACAGTCCGGAGAAACGCTTGTGTTGGTGACTAAACTATATTGTTTGGAGGCGTTCATTTATTCATTGTTGGTCCCATGTTTCGTAATCTTTGAGCTTAGTTACCCTTCTTTTGTCTCAGGCTGGCCGCCCCCAATTGATGCGATAGGTACTACGAGGCGCCTCCTATGTAGAGAATCAAGAGAGTCCCTGTTCACATGCACTTATCAATGCATGATCTTCGACCGTATTTATTCTTCGTTCCAAGACGACGATCTCATTGGGTATATTGAGGCCAATAAGGAAACTTAGTTTCGACAACGAAAAATTCATCGCCTCTCAAACTGCGAAGTGAGTGTGAAGGGCATAAAACTGCTATCGGAACGGTAAAGTGGTCAGGTGTTCACTTGTTGCAGGAAGGTACAGCACGTCCCGAAACTGGTGCAACAGCCAACACTCTTTAAGTGATTATTTAGCCCCACTGCCAAGAAATCTTAGTCTATATTGAGAGCTATTCCGACAGTTGCGCGGGTATTTCTTTCGTGAGTAAATTAAATAATAGTTTCAAGTATGCATTAACTTGTAAATTCAATATATGTGACATCTTTATGCCCTCACCCGGAGCAGCTTTCCTCGGACGCAGACTAACACGAAACACAAGGCACTGCTATGTGTTCACGGATAGATCGGCGGGGCCTACTTGGCTATAATTCTGTATGACTATATTTTGCGTCCCGTGATCGATTTGTGTTAGTCAGCTATGCAGCATGCCAAGACCCGTATTAAGCCCTCCTCTATTGCATAGCGTCAATCGATTTCAACCCTCACTGTCCTCCCTTTTCGGAGGGCAGTGGTTAAACAGCAGATTTGTGTTCATCTGTTTTTGGGTCCTCTGTTTTTGACCTTGCGAGCAGTTGCTTCTTCACTGGCATTCTCGTCAGCATCTCAATCGTTCATCGCTATTGACCATGGAATTCACGCCTCTTCACCCACAACCACCTGTGTGGATACAGTATCTGCTACGTATTAATCCGGATGGTTATTCCTATCAGAGGTTACTTTTTCGTCTGTCACCACTTTAGTCCCTCCCATTGACCATGCCTTTCCCTACCCTCGATTTTGTGCCTCTCCACTAATCAACAACGTCCGGCACACACACTTTCCCGTTTGATCAACTATTTTCCCACCAAAGGCCAAGGGTCGAACGCAGCAACCTAGTAACTATTCACTTATCTGTTGACTTTCTGTTGAACCCGGCAGATTCCAGCAACACGTATCTTATGGACGTCGTTGATGCCCCTGTTTCATCGCCAACGCTTGTTGACCCCTCGTACATATGCGATGACAACTTTGACACGCTGTTCGGAGACGCCTATACATGTACTTGGAGGGAGTGTGATCGGAGGAAGAGTAGTTGTAGTTGGAACAGTAGAAACAGTGGTGAAGGTTGTCGTTGACTCGCAGTTCAGTGGTTGCGTAGTTAACTTGGGCACTGGCTTCAGCCGTAGGAGGCGGAGTGATTGGGTTCTGATCTCCCAAAGGCTCGCTGACGGCTGTGGCCGTTGCTATCAGCACGCTGAAGAGGTGTAGAGAGTTAGAAAAATTCATCTTCCGTCCGGGGATCATGGCCTGGAAAGCGTGGGAATTATGGAAGATTTGGATCTATGTTCGCAGTCGAGGATATAGCTCTCATAAATGTATATTTGACCCCTTACGCAAGTTTGGGGATCCCCATTATACGGCCCACACTTCAGCTAGCTACTTCAGTTCAGCTGCCCCTCTTCATAGACCAGGTCAGATCAGTTTTACGACTGTCTCCTGCCCTATCACACAGGATTACATCGCACTCCTCCGTCCATGTATCGTTTACATCGAGAGCTCTATTATTCCCCCCAACAGCAATGAAAGAAAACTTCATAATCGGCTGACAGTTGCAGCAAAATACAGAGAGCTCCACATGCAGTCAGCCCTTTATTTGGAGTTGACCTAATCCACAGGGAAAATATTGATAGCTATCCCACCCTTCTCCTCAGCTATTTAACACCGTCTCTAGGCTTTCGGCCAATATTGAATCACCCTGGCCATGTTCTGAGTTCGACCGCCGCTCGTCTCTTGTGGAGTCAAGATATGTTTTTCGGATTCCCAGCAGGAGTGGCCGATTTTAGCACTGGTGATGTGGGCCTTGACAAGTATGGATTTGGAGCCTAGCTCTACCGATTGGCTTCAACTCCTTGCTGAATGGAATTGGTGCAATGAATCTCACATTTATGAGGTGTTTTCACACCCAGCATGTATGCGATGGCCATGAGGCGGGAACCTTCCTATGTTGTCCAGAGGTGCAGTATGGACTGAATACCTTGTTTCCGCATCGAGGACTAAAACAGAAGTAGTATTAATTTAGGCAATCAGTGGATTGCCGTACTGGAGTTCACTCAGCAGCTCCATCTCCACGGGTCAACTTGAGTAAGAGATCCCTTGCCTCTTACCTTTATTACCTCTAAGCATACACTGCCGAACTAAAGCGTACGAGTACTGATCAACCATCACTTTCGTTGAGCTAACCAATTAGATGACATGATTTGGTCCTATCAGTGTCCTTTCCTCGATGGAAGTGTATTAAGTATTGGTTGTGATACATCATACTCGCCGTAGTGACTTTGAAAAGATTCGATCGGCTTCAGCTGAGCCATACTAACAGAATCACCTTGGGGGTGGGGGACAGATGGAGTGATAGCGTATGCAAAAGGTGGTTAATCCTGTTGGTGGTCCCCCTCGTGATAGTCACCATGATCGAAAGTGGCGCGGAGAAGGCAGAGCTGAGAATGGTAGCATGAGATCATCCGGCGCATCGAGCGGGGAGAAGCTCCACAGGCATGGCCTTAGACATGCGGTGAAAGGGATGCTCCGCTGGGCAGGTCCCATCCTCGCTGGGGTGTGTTGCAGTCTGACACCTGTCCTTCCTTAATGGTCTCGCACAGACCTGCTCTCTGGATGGGCATATGGGCATCCACCGGGATGTAGTGGAGAGAGCACTGCAGACCATTCGCAGCAGGGGTGGAGATCCCCCTTTCCGATCTGCGGACGCAGAATGCGATATGGACGGAGAAGGGTCTATGAACCGGAGTCTTGGCCAGATGATCGATCCATCAATGATATGGGGATCTGCATCCCCACCGGTGTCTGTTCTCACTAGTAGGATCGGCCCTGCCCGGCCCGCTCGTCCGCTCATGATGAACTCCGATGTGCATCACCCCTGCGGGTCACACCATTCAGGGAAGACTAGTTTACGGATACGAATGCCAAAAAGGCCTGAAAATCTTGGCACGCATAACCCCACGTTTGTGTGGAGCCCATACGAGGGTATGTGTACATATGTCGGGAGGTGTAGCCCGCCTCCCGTCCGTCTCCATCCAAGATCACGATGTCCGAAGATATTGGTCTGCTACCTGCCATTCCCTACTCAATGCGTATCCCCAGTTCTCCTGCTTTTTACCCTCTTTGATTTGGAGAGATTTTTAGTGAATCCACTCTGTTCCTCAACTTGGGCCTCTCGCACCTATTTATGATCGCCAAGGTTGTGGGTCAGGAGTCAAATAGCCACCACCACTACTTGTTGCTATTTGACTCGTGCATGATCATTCCACCCTGTTGTTGTCTCCGTAAAAATACTCCCATTGACTCTGCGCTCTACTGTCAACAACGCTGACACCGGATGGCTAAGCTAAAGACGTTCGGCCCTATCCCGTATCACAGAAACCAACCAGGCAATGATTGATAAATTTTCCCCCATGACAATTTCCTTATTACGGATCCTGCAATCACCCACTTCTTGACGGCCACCGAGGGCCAACTGTGCATTAGCTCCGGAGTCACGTGCAGACGGTATACCTCGCGACCCCCCAGGTGTACCGACCAAAACGATTCAACCCTGATCACTGAGCAATCACTGAGCACCAGGGTGAGCGACCCACTTGGCAGACATTATCCCATGTACTCCGTAGAGATAGACATTGTAAACGCGGAGTCATCCGTAATGGGGGCCCCCACATGATTTCCAGCGGCCAGAGCCAGCTGAAAATGACGACATGTCTGCATGTTACGTGAGTAGTGGCGCTAATCAGCTCGTTTGTGTCAGATCCTCAGCCTGCCAAGATGTACTACTAAGTGGGGTTCGAAGGTTCGTGGGCCTCTCTTGGATACCAAAATCAGTGCTCTGTAGTGGAGAACGGTGGTGGGCGAGGGGGCTGTTTGCGCCACTAGGTTTTGATACCTCCTAATAAAGAGTCTGTGACGCATCATCAGAAACGGTCTACCCTGTAGCGAGGGCCTCACCGTTAGCTGGCTGTTTATAGGCTGTCAGCAAACTAGGCCAAAAAAAAAGGAAGAAAACCACATTCATGACAGAACAGATATGAGACTACCATTTATCTATTCTGAAAGAAATTGTAGCGTGCAAATTCTTAGCTAAAAAAATTACTGCGTCGGCTTTTTGGTATAATCGAGATAGGGTGAAGGTAGTTCGGCTGCCTTCATGCTCAGCATGGTGTGCGTCTCCCAAAGTTACAATCTATGTGACCACCAACTGCTATGTGGGGTAGTGGTGCTAGTCCCTCATTTGCTAGCGAATGGATCGCTTGAGGGCTGTGATAGCTCTTACAGGAGTGGCGTCTTGTGGGGAAACAATCTAAATTTTCTTTGTTCTTGCTTCTCCTAAAGCCAGATGAAACGCAAAAGCAAACGTCATTGGCTTGGCTGCATGGCTAAAGAAAAAGGGGTAGGTGGTTAAATGAAGACTTGGCAGCTGAAAAGCTGCGCTTGAACTAGACCGTTCTCTAGCTGATTCACCAATGCTGACTATAAAGAGAGGCCCGGTCTCCTCAATGTTGTACGACCGATTGTTTTTCTGCCTCTCTCAAAGGATTTATTTGATCCCCTTATTCCATTGATTCACTGCTGCTTGACCTTTTTCTCCGACGAAATGGCACACCATAAACCTCCGCAAATTGACACTTACAATGGATGGAGAATTGCCACCGTGGACTGTCGTCCAAAGGGAACCAACTGCGACCTTAACGGCGTCCGTCTCTGGTTTAATCGCGAAGGTTACTATGTCATCATTGGTGTCCCCGCTGAAGTCTGCTATGCTTTGGCTGTATATGGTCGCGAGGCAACTCATGTGAACAAAAGCTGGGGCAATGGCTGGGGGTGCCGCATACCGCTGGTGCCGCAGATGCCGCTGGTTACAGGAAGGACGATTCCAACATTTATTACATATTTGGCAGTACTTTAATATTAGGATACTCTGGAGAAAATGTTGTCCACACATTACGGGACATGTGCGAGCGGACAGAGAAGGGTTTGAAGAAGGAGGGTCACTCTGGCTACGATGGTTTTGCAAAAGTGATGGAAGATCGAATCATGGAGGCCCTTTATCTTCATGACCCTACTTGGCGGGACACGGTACACAAAATGTGGCAGCGAAGTAGGGAATATGGAAGGCGATAGTCGCAATAGGGCCAAATCTTGACAGCCAATCGTTCTGCGGGCAAAAATAACAGGGGCTGATGCTTGGGGAACCTGAGGATGGGTGGAACTGAGGATGGGGTAAGCAGAGGAGTGAATAGGCGTGTACGTAACTAACTAGCTATTTGCATGCCTTATTCCACAGGCTCTGTAGTATTCATCGACATGTACACAAAGGGGCACCCTGCCATTCATACTGTACATTCCAGTAGACTTCGGCGATGTATGTCGTGCAGGTCACTACGGGTGCTCCCAAAAGTGGATTTACTGGTTCCCTGGAACCAGAGAATCCGTTCCTGACTTTCACATCATCTTAATGCCACCTCTCTATTTTCCTCTGTACTGTACATGCCCCTTCTTACAGGGCTCCATTTGCTCTGTGACAGGGAATTGGGATATTGCACGTGACTCAGAACCCATGCCATGCGATCATTCAATCTGCCAGGTGGTGATTATATCAGCAGTGGAGCTTGGGGAATTGATACAGACAGCAGAAAAATTGATACAGACAGAGCAAAAGGTTATGTCAGCGCCCGGCTTACCTAACCACTCAATTCCACAGTACGGTACTATAGCAACCGGTTGCTATAGTATCTAGATAGGCATCAAATTCCGTTGGATTTTTATCCCATCTACTACCAAGATTGCTGGCTTCGAATTTACCATGTCTACTGCTTCACCCACCACCATGCCCACTGCGATACCCGGTACTGGCTCCAGTGCAGCTCCTTCGGCCAGTGCTGCAGCGATGCTGCCCCCACCTGAAGGCACATTCAGCACCCGAGAGCAGCTACTTGCTTCAGTGCTAGAGCATGCCCTTACCCAGGGCTATGCCACGTGCATTGGAGGGTCCAGGAAGGATAAATACGTCTATATCCAGTGCGATAGGGGGGGGCAATATCGTGATCACGTCGATGCTCCCGAGGGATCAAAACGCCGCAAAACCAGCACCAGGCGAGTTGGATGCCCCTTTTCTCTATATGCAGCCAAAAAGAAGGATAATCTATGGTATCTACAGGTCAAAAACTCCACCCACAACCACCCGGCCGACGCCAATATGATAGCACACCCTACAGCACGGCAATTGACCCCCCAGCAGGTGCAAACGATTAAACACCTTGCTTCTACCCGTGCAAATCCACGCAATATCATTGGTCTTATCAAAAAGGATACCCCAACGCAGCTTGTGATCCCTCGTGATATCTATAACCAGGTGAAGCTCGGTGATAAATCGTCTATGGAATATCTCCGAGAGCAGCTAATCCAGCGTCAATGGAAGCATGAATTTGTACAGGACACTACAGGCCATATGACCTATCTTATGTTTGCCCACCCTACGTCAATCGAGTTGGCTAACAAATATAATAGGGTTTTCGTACTTGATTGCACATATAAAACGAATCGTTTTAAGATGCCTTTATTGCATATAATTGGCATCACACCCTCGAATTTATCCTTCACAGTTGCATTATGCTTTATGCTAGACGAGCAAACGGAAAGCTATATATGGGCCCTTCGGACGTTTTTTACCTCGCTAAGTCTCCCTATTAGCCATCACCCTGTGGTTAGTAGGATTATATAATAAATTTATGCAGAAACCTCCTTTATTTCATTTTGTCCATATTTACCCCTATTTCTCCTAAATGCTACGCGTCTTACAAAATGGCTAATCAATACTCATTTTTCAATCGACCATATTTTGCAAACACTCAGGATCCCACTCCTGAGGCTATACGTGAAGTCACTGCTAAACAAAGGGCTAAATGGGAAGTAGACTCTCTTATTTATGTAATGAACAGAGGCTGTGCGAGGCAGGTATGCACGATTCCTTGAACCTTGGCTATCGTTAGGCACGACATTCGTAGGACGCAGCTTGTCGCCGTTGTCCAAAGCACGAGAGAATGTGCTTGGACGCGAATACCCTGACACGCTCACTGCTGTTAATAACCTTGGCATTGTGCTCCCCAGGTATGGGTAATATGAAGAGGCAGAAGCGATACATCGATGAGACTTGGATCAACGTGTATCTACACTATTTATTGTAAAGGCAGCATCCATGGAGGCATAACATCATCAGATGTTACCCGGCGATGGGGGGCAGTTTTCCGTCGAAGCGCTTTCTCTAGCTTTTTTTTCCCAATGATAGCTGCCAGAACGCACTGGGAGCTAAAACGACATCTACCTCAGTGTCCATTGATACATAACAGAACCTAACACTGAGAACACGCAGAGATTTACTTGGTACTTTAGTTGTATGTGGTGTGATTCTCGAAGTCGCCTGAAGCAGAACACAGAAATTCTTTCCTGGTCTCACTGCCAAGACCTTAGCGCGATGTATTGATTGGGTGACCGGGAGACGCTGCAATTTGCACTTTGTTTAACACAGTGATCATCGGTATCTATTGCAGGCATTTATACAAACCAGGAGTGGGGGCGTCGTGCCAAATTGTTTCCAATGGGTCGATTATCCGAGATTGATCTGTATCGTCATCAAAAGAGCTATAGGCTATGTCGAATATGTCCAGAGGAGGGCTAGAGCTGTACTCGTAAGGGGTTAGCCAGGTATGCCTGATGCCCAATGAACATCGGAATCCGCCACATGGCGATAAGCAATGGTAATCACGAAACAAATCCCACTGTCAAGCCTTGCCTACCAACTTGACCAGAGATTGACACTAAAGGCAGCGTCAAACCCGTGCAGTGAGGCAGCTGAGGGATTGAGGAGGGAAGTTGCTAGATTACTAATGGTCGCTGGTTTGCTTAGTTTGCGGGGAGCCTTCTAGTAGAGACTTGTATCGGTACAACTATGGGTTCAAATCAGGTACCAGTACTACGTATAGTCAAAACGCGTAATTTAATCGATTCCATATTGGGTTTATCTCATCACGTGATTAGGGTTTAAAAGAGCATCTCTCTGTCTCTAGATATGGAAGGCAATAACGGGCGGCACTGTACCATGTCATCCGACCAACATTTGACAGATAGCACGCGATCTCCAAATTCATGCCCCAGCCCACACTTTGTCACTACAGATGTCCCTTAATCACTGATCACTTGTTCACTCTTGCGGACACGCCGTGAGTGCTCTGCCGGATTTCTGCCATTCTGTCTCTCCACACATAAAGTGTTGCGTTGAGCTACTTGCATTGCCACCTCACGGACTAAACCCGGACCGAGAGCAGAATGCTAACTCGATGCCACGCTACCTTTTCGTTTTCGAGTATAACGTAGACCTTTCAACTTTGTAACACAACAACTAATCATACTTAGTCCTGAAAATCCTTATAATTCATCAATCTAGTTGGAGCACATCTGAGTTGCTTAAAAAATTAAACTAAGCCACCGCGATGTGTACTTATTCTATCTACACCTGAAACCAGATAAGGTCTTTCTGTGATGCGGACTAGTACACCAATATAGAGACAATCACTGCTCAGATTTCCCAACTTGAAATATGTTCATCTTTATCGAATTCCTATAGCGAAGCTTTCCACGATATCATTTCTTATATCCGTCAAATTCGACGTATACCACTTTCAGATGTAGAAATTAATCTTACAATGGACAATCTGACTAAGCATAACATGCACTTTTATTTGGGATTCTCTATCCCGTGGTCACATGATTTTCTGAGTAGGGTTCCTGGTATTGAGCCATGTGTTCGATCTTCACTTTCGACAATAACCTCAAACTCGATGCGATGCGCGCAATTTCGTTGCTTTTCCATGGGTTGCATTTTGCCACTTCTTGAGATAGCTCGAGCAACAACTGAAGAGCGACCTGTCGGCAGCACAATGATTTGACAAAATGCTTGCCAGCTAAAGTCTTGGCGTGGCTTTGTCTCAGCTCGTTGCCACTCTGATTTGCCGGATTGGCGTATTTGAACAGCTTCGATACCATCCCAACTCCACGCCCAGCCACGAATCATAACTCTCGGACCAACTACTTTAGCATTTGGTGGAGGGTCGATGATCATTGAGTTAGGCTCTACTTCCCATACGGGTTGTATTCCTCCCTGCGGATTAGGTCTGTTGTAGTAATAGGTGGCGAATATTCCAGGTGCACGCTGGGCTTGAACGGACAGTCGCCAGAGCCACTTGGTGCTGTTGGTACCGAACCAGCCAGGCACTACAAGTCTCACTGGTCCACCTCGTTCCCTCCTAAGCTGTTCGGAGTTCATCTCGTAGGCCACAAGCACTTCCTCGGTCATTGCTTTTTCTAATGGAAGGTCTTTCTGATAACAAGATACTTTCTTCCCAGCGAATGTACCATGATCAAGGCCATCAGACCATATATATTGCGCGGAGCCTAAAGGCCGAGCGATCTTTAGAAGGGATTTGAGTGGGACCCCGGTCCAGGTGACGTTTCCAACACGCCAGATGTTCCTATCTGACGGGCGTAGTGGGCTTCCGTAGCATTCGTGGAACGCAATAACAGACGACTTTGGTAATGCACACAACTCAGGGAGAGAAATTGAGAGTGGGTTTTCCACCATTCCGTCGACCACTAGTCTCCATTTAGCGACGTCAACAACGGCAATTCCCATATGCATCTCCTCGAACAAGAGTCTATCATGAGTGAGATACTCTTGTTGTTTGTGAGGAGGAGGCGCTTCTTGGTATTTGCTTGGTCGATAAATCGTAACGCACTCGTTTTGTGCCCTTTCACCGCTCGACTCGTTGCTGCTTTCATTCGTAGGCATGCTGGAGGTACCGCATCAAATTTCCTTCGGCATTAGAGAGTCTTGATCAACAAGGCAGAGGACAGAGCTTTGAAATTGTGTTCGCAAAAGTACATTTCTGCATCCTCTGTGTCGGCGACTGAAATCTTCGTAGAAAGCCACCGAAAGTACTATTCCGAAAGAGGAGTACGGGAACGATGCTAGAGCTCTGGTTCTATTTCCGTTATATTCTTCCGTCATCATACCTGATAGGTTTAGTGCGTGCTCATTTCTGCCCCCTAAGGGGTGGAATTGGCTCTGGTTGGGTAACGGGAGATAAGTTACTGTCACGATTTGTACTGTATCCGGCCAATTGGAGATGTAAATGACTCTGTATTTCCATTACCCCTATTTCCCACTATTTATGGGGCCGTTTCTAATTACATGACTAACCTCCGGATATACTGTATACCCGAAGCTATTCGGATCATCTATAGACCCGGTTTCATGCAGTATTCGTAAGATATTTGTGACACACCCCTTCAGCGGCCTCAGTATCCCATCCTGAGCCGCTGGCCATGCCATTCATCAGCGAATCTGCTCCAATTTAGGTCATTTCTTCATGACCAGGTCTCCAATTTCGACCATCCGCAAGAGCTTGACGAAGCTTGCATGCTTCTGCCGAGAAAGCAGCTTCGTCAGGCCATCAGCGACCATTTTCGCTGTCGGGACCCAGCGTACGGCGACGCGTCCCGCCTTCACTTCCTGTCTCAGCCAAAGGTGATGAATATCAACGTGCCGAAGCTTCGTGTCGAAGCTAGCATCGTCGGCAGTGATCAGACCAATAGCTCTCTCATTATCGCACTCAATGGTGAGGACGTGCGATGCCTCGAAGCCCACTCGGCCAAGCAGTCTTCTCCACCATTGGAGATGCTTGCCGGCTTCAGATAGACCGAGAAGCTCGGCCTCGGTGGTTGAGGTTGTCACCGTCCGCTGCTTGGTGGCTTTCCAGTCTACAGGTCCGCCGTAGACCTGGCAGATATAGCCTGCAGAGCTTTTCCGGTCTGCATGATCACCGTACGATGCATCGCTTGCTAGCTGCACCGAGTCCATATCCACCTCCGCATTGTATTCGATTGCTAGGAAACGGGTGGTGTAGAGGTAGGTGATAGCCCGATCGACGGCTCGGTGGTGCTTTTGCTGATATAGGTGTATTTCTTGCGCGCTTGCAATGCCTTCGTACGGCTTCAGGTCTTCGATTGGCAGTGGGGTTAGCACGGGGGTCGGTCTGTGAGGTTATAGCGAGCTGCCACGCTTGTGAGATAGCTGTCTTGGCAAAGCCATAATTTCTTCGCCTGCCGGTCCCGAATAATGCGTATATTCAGGAACCATTCAGCTTCTCCATGGTCAGTAAGCTCCCAATGCGCTTCGAGGTCCCTTTCTAGCTGATTAGCTCTTCTCTCCGCCGTCCGATGGCTTGCTATCAGTATGTCATCAACGTAAAAGAAGACGATGATTCCTTCTCCAATAAAGACGCATGGGTCTTCGGGTGCTTGCTTTAGGCCTAGCTTGCTAAGAACCTCTGCTGCTTCCTGCTGCCACAGGCGCGGTGAGATTCTTAGCCCGTATAGCGCTTTGTGAAGCTTCCAGCATTTTCCTTGCATCCCAAAACCTTCCGGCATCCTGGTGTATACCTCCTTTTCCAGCCTGCTGTTAAGGAATGCTGTCACAGCGTCCCGCTGTCTCAAATTCAGGTCGAATGCTGCTACCAACGCGAAGATCATTCGCGCGGTTCTAGCTGCTAGCGTTGCAGCCCTCTTTTCCTCTGATGTAATTGTCTCGAGGTCTCCTCTCACGCAAATGCGAGCTTTGAATTTGACTAGGAAGCCGTCCTGGTCTAATTTGTATGAGAAGACCCATAGCAGCGGCAAGACCTGCTTTCCCCGGTCCTTTGGACGATCTACCACCTTATACGTCTCTTTCTCTGTGAGAGAGTCTATTTCTCTGCGCATGGCGGCTAGGAAGCCTTGTTGAAATGGGTGATTCATGACGTCTTTCCAATGTTTCGGGGGATCAGGTAGATCGTCCCGATGACGTCTTATTGGCTTCTCCGCGTATAGGGCCGCTGCGAATGCATGGAGGAAGGCTGGGGGTTCTTCCATGGTAGCGTACGCGAAGGCATCATCCCGTTTTGCTGACCTTCTTCTTGGTCCAGACATTATATTTGCCTCATCTAGGTCGCCGTTGATGTCTCTTGGAGCTAGTTCTCTTGGTGCTAGCTCCGCTTGCAGCTGTGCTTCAGCTTCATCGTCCGATTCACTGTTTTCCTGAGCTTCCTGGGTCGCTTGCTGGACCTCCTGGAGCTGGTCTCTGGCCGGCATTTCCGGTGTCTCCACCCCCTGACGAGCTGCAGGAGGTTCTTGTTCACTTGGAGGTGTCGGAGGTAGTGGAATTTCCTGTGGGAAAGCGCCTGGTAGGACCGATATAGGTTCAAAACGTCGGCTGCTAGGTGTATTATACACCCCTTGGCGGCTTGCTGTATGAGATGGTTTTTCGGCCGAAGAACTATCTCTTCCTGGAGTCTCATTTCTCACTGGTCCTTCCTGGACGTCTTCGTTATCGGTCCTAGCTTCCAATTCAAGTATCTCTCCATTTGTTAATGATGCCTGGAATACTCTCTCAGCCTCCGCTAGGTCCAATTCCTGCGGCTCCTTCTCCAATGGCATTGGAATCGGCTGAGAGGGTTGAAAACCTAGTGAGTATCGACGTGATTCATCGAATACGGCATCCCTAACCAGCCTGACCTTTCCATGCTGAGGAAACCATATTTTCCAGACATTTGCTGCTAGATAGCCGACTAGGAAACCGACCTCAGCGCGTGGATTCATCTTATCCGATTGCACTTGCTTCTCAATACGGCAGTAAGCAAGGCTTCCATACAACCTCACGTTTGATAGGTTGACCTTCGGAATAGCTTCGCCGTCGCTGGCGAATCTCTTGCGGACCTCGTCCCATGGCACTACCCAGCGGTTCTCATGCGCGATATAGGTAGGCGTCCGATTTAGCAGCCAGACTGCTGCCATTGCTGCTTCAGGCCATAGCTCCTTCGGGAGCTTGCCTTCAAGTGTCAGCATCCTCATACGTATGAGAATGACACCCCCTGCTCTTTCAGCGTTTCCATTCATTTCTGGATGCCCTGGTGGACTGTGATAGACCACTATACCGTCCGATGTTAGACTCCGTTCTGACACCCTTCCTGCGGAAGTTTCATTGTCATAATGGAAGGCCTTGATAGGTAGGTTCCACCAATTCTTGGCTATTTGGACGAACTGGGTAATGGCTAGCTGACATTCAGACTTCATTTCATGCGTCATAACCCAGTGAAACCTAATTCCTTCGACGTAAAAATGAGAGATCCATCGATGCTTATTGTAGGCATAAGGAAGCTGTATGAGGTCGAAGTGTACTCTTCCAAAACGGCCAAAGCTTCGTCCAATTGGCTTCCTTGACACTTGTCGATTCGACCTTCCTAGGCTGCATGTCTCGCATACAGCCTTAGGAGTTGCTTCCTCCTCATTAATGGTGACTCCCTCGACCATTTTTGGCATTTGCTTGAGAGTTGCAGGCTGTATATGGGCTAGACGTCGATGCCATAGCTCCATTGAACCCTTTTCCTGCCTTGGTGCCGAGGATACTGCATTGGCAGTGGTCTGAAAAGCTTCATTGGGTTGGTCAAAGATCCACAACCCGTGCTGCTTCCTAAGATGCAAGCTAATTATGGGGATACCCTGGTGGTCCTGGATATACCCTTTAGCTTCAGACCATTCACCACCCTTTTCTCGCAACCTAGCGTACGATACTAGGTTGACGTGGAACCCAGGCGCGTAGCAAGCATTGCTTAAGGTGATGATCTTCTCTTGCCCTGATATCGGGTCCGCGCCGGTGAGCTTCACCGTCCCTCGTCCAATGACGGCTGTACTGCCGTCTCCCGTTACGAGAGCTTCCTTTACTGGCGTGAGGTTGACGAACCAGCTTCTCTCATTACAGACATGGACGCCGGAGCCGGTGTCAAGAATCCATCGGTCATGAAGTGCTGAGATAGCAATTTTTGACCCAATTTCCTGGGTTGAAAAGGACGTATTTCCTAGGTTTAATTGGACGGCATTTGCCGGCATTTTTGACAGTTTTTCCATGGGTTTTCCGATGGTTTCATGGATCCATTTCCTCCATGCTGGGTCGGCCGATAGAGCTCTCTCCATTTTTTGGAGGTTTTCCCTCTTTGGCTGATAACCGTCGGGTCGAACTGCTTCATTGACGACCCAGCAGTTCGTGAGTTGATGCTTCGGATGCTTGCTGCCGCATGGGCATGGCCTTTTCTCAAAAGGTATGTCTTCCCTTGGCTTCCTAGAGTCATTTCTTGCTTCCTGATGACCCTGCCAAGTGGAGAAAGACCCCTTTAACGCTGGCGGCTGTAATGCTTCCGATGGTCCAAATTCTCGATACAGGCCTCTGAAGGACTCAATCAAATCCTGAGTGTCGTACGAGGCTCCATTCATCACTATCTCTTGATATTTTGCCTGCCACCAGATTGGTAAGACCTCTTTGACTGCTTGCAAGAAGTCCTGGTTTGCGCTCTCAACTTCAGGAAGCTGGAGGCTAACTGCTTGCTGCCATAGCTCGGTCCACGAAGCAAGCCATTTCTCGATATCCCCCGCTGGTTTTACGGTCGAGAAAGCTCTCCATTGCATCCGAATTTCTTCCTTGAACGCGGGCGTACGCGCGAACCTAGTCTTGAGATAGGCTAGACGGTCATACGGGGTGTCGAATTCGAGGACTGCGTCACGGAGACCGCTATCCACGAAGGTGATGATATACTCATTCACTTCATTGAGGCCCTTCCGCTGCTTCTCCCAGCGGTTGGCACCAATTTTGTAGACCTCCAAGAGGTCTCTCCACTCCTTTTTAGCTTCAGGATCCGCATCCAGCGGATACTCAGGCTCCTGTGGCTCTCTCAGAGCCTTCGGACGAAGGGCTCCATCGGTGTCGGGGTTGCAAAGGTCCCAGACTGTCCGATTAATTGCGAATGCCCTCATCCTCTTGTGCCATGCTCGCCATTGTGACGAGTCTTTCAGTTTATCGCCCTTCAGGGCGGAGAGCATTGATGCCGTCTCCATTGTGGATGCTGCTTCTGATGAGATGAAGCAAGGATCCTGCGAGATGGTTGGATAGTAGGGATCGAAGGGATTCAGGGGTAGGAAGTCTGCGAGATGCTTTCTGGACCTTTCAGCTTGCGAATAGCTTCAAGGATGATAGCAAATGAATTCCTAATAGGTGCGAACCGGGCTCATAACTGTCACGATTTGTACTGTATCCGGCCAATTGGAGATGTAAATGACTCTGTATTTCCATTACCCCTATTTCCCACTATTTATGGGGCCGTTTCTAATTACATGACTAACCTCCGGATATACTGTATACCCGAAGCTATTCGGATCATCTATAGACCCGGTTTCATGCAGTATTCGTAAGATATTTGTGACAGTTACTCCCGCCCACATGTATGCTGACTAAGATTTCCCTGACCCGGATACCGGTTGGTATTTTCACTGAACCCTGGTATAGCCGTGTCACGGATATCTGTCTGGTTTGACTGTTCCCGATCGTCGATCTACCGAGCTTAGTATCTGCAGATGACTTGAGGAGGCAGGAAGGATAAACTATTTTCTCCTATCTCAATCTCAATCGACTCTAATAGAGTTTGTAACGCTGTAGTCTGCTACACGGCGTCGTCACTCTTCCGGAGGCTCTCTGAAATCTATCACCCAATTGGGTTATTGGGGTGGTAACAACGGCGCTTCATCATATTCTTCTCCCGCAACGTCCTACTGCGGTTTAGTATGTGGAATCGGGCAGAGAAAACCATGTCGAGCCCTTGCTAGAGAAGCTGCAGGGTCAAGTTGGACCTTGCACGATAAGTCTGCGAAAGATCAAGTAGATCCGATGTTATGCTAGGTATAACTGTGGCAACAAAGCTTTTGGTTAATAAATTGAAGGTGCGGCTCTAGATTAGGTCCGTATGTTCCATTACAATTAACAGTATCAATTATTGTTTCACGCTCCAACAAAATCCAATCCGAAGCAGACCGGTAACAATCTACAGGAACGATCGAGACACTGACAGGGGTAGTTGAGAATTTGTCCAAACAACATCAAAATCCCCCCAATAATATATATATATATATATATATGTTTCTCCTTATCTATCCAAGACTCTACCTACTACGTTGAATCAACCCTTAACCGATTTCCACCTACACATATCCCTTTCAACAAGCCAAATTGAGCTGCGTAAGAAGACCGAGTTTCCACGGCAAGGTGTTATAGTCACTGGCCGCCGGTCGGACCCAGCCCTGTTAAGAGGTGTTGCAGATTGCACGGACGTACATGGACTGATCGTCATGGTTTGGTTGATCTCAGTGCGCACCATCTCGCCGTGACTGATTCTTCTCGTCCATCCAACTCGTGATAGAATCCATCTATCACTTTTACGCCCTTGAGTCGTGTATGGCTCCCCTTTCCTTAACCAAGTTTGAGATCTCTTCCGCAGTCTCGCCGCCCATCCGCGCAAATCCCGCCACCACACCCTCCCGGTCACCAGGCTTCATCTCCTGACTCATCTTAAATTTCCCCTGAACTTTCTCAATGCGAATTTCAATGCCAACAATATTCCGCTGCATCAACTCAATATATTTCTCCGGTGCATCAGACACCTTCCACGGCTGCGGCTTCTCGCCACCCGTATACCCCATAACCGATTCCTCAGTATGCTGTGACAAATCGTCGATTTGTTTGGCTAGAAAAATGCCTGCCTCGGGAGACTTCGAGTCGTAGTAGAGAGAGAGCTTGCCATAGACTTGGACGGCAGAGTAGTTCCATGTGGGGACGACCTTGCCTGTGTCTGGCTTGGTTTGGGCGTAGTATTTGGGTGTGACGTAATGGTTATATTTACCATTAAATACCACAAGTACGTTATCTTCGAGCTCGAGTACATTAGGCTTGCTCACAAGTTCCTCGATCATGCCTTTCACTTGCGGGTTTTGCTTAGCGATGTGTGCGCGGAGACGGCCCTGTGGTAGGAAGTCGGTGGTTTCCACGGGGAGGTCCAGGACAAAAGGCGCATGGGTGCACTGTAAAAATTCTTGTGCGGATTTTACTCCCGTGATGAGCATCCCTAGGGGATTCTCGCGGATGAATTGGAACAGGACAGCAGTGTCCCTTTCAGCATGGACGGGCGGGAGGAACATTTTGGGGTCCAAGTTCAGAGTGAGATAAAAAGATAGTTGACATCGGCCTTGAGAGGGATACATTGCCAGCCTTATATAGATAACCGAGCCGGCTGAGATAAAAGAATTTTAAAAGGCGAGTCACGTAGAAGGCTATTTTCCGTAATCACACCCGCAGAACTGAGGCAAAGCGGACTTCACGCTATGCCCACATGAGCATGAATCGCGCGTTCAAGGAGGAACTAAGAGCGAAGAACCTTCCGTTTTGAACGTACAAACATAAAATTCGACCAGTCAGACCAGAATAATACTCTGATAACAATAAGAAAGGCCCGCATCGTTCTAGCGCACTCTAACCAGTATAGCGGCGATTGGGCGGATAGGAGTATGAGGGAACCAACCGTGGTCCACCACCGTTCTCGCACACCGCGTTTGGAATAGCACCGACCCACATTTCAGAGATGATGCATAAAGTGCCTATCCAGAGAAGAAATTTTCGATAGGCTTGCCTGATGCGGTCTGCAGGAACGATAGACCTATGGGAGACACTTATGGTATGTTCGGAAATTTCCAGAATGGCGGTGCAACGTGTATAGGGAAGAGTATTAAATAAGATAATCTTCAAGATAGGACTGAGAAAGTTCTCAACTACTTCTCAAAAACTTATAGTTGATCATATAAACACAGCCATGAGCAGATCTACCCCCTGAGGATCGCCGTCCTCATCAATACACCGTCAGACAACTTTGACTTCTGGACAGACGTCAGGCAGGCCTGGCAAGAATCCTTCGCCAATGTTGCCCCATCCGCCGAAGTCGACTTCTACGACCCAGTCTACGAGAGAGTCTTCCCGGATCCGTCAAAATATGACTTGATTGCTCTAAGCGGTGGCAAAGCAGACGCATCTTCTTCTGACCCCTGGGTGCTCGGAGTGCTTGATTTCGTGCGCGCTGCTGTGCGTGATACCCCCAAGACGAAGATCCTTGGTGTCTGTTGGGGGCATCAAGCTGTGGCAAGGGCGCTCGGTGGGGAGGTTGGAGCTGTTCCGACAGGGCCAATCGTGGGTTTTTTCTAGTACACCTTAACTGTACTGGGATAGGGCTAACCAATATTGTGCAGGCTGCTATCCAAGATATCGCTCTCACAGATGCGGGCAAAAAATTCTTGACATTCGCTGCCAGCACCGGTTCGTACGTATGTCTACCTTATTCCTCTGATACCATGGCCATTCACTGAGTCCGTTCTAGAGAGCACCCGAATTTCATGTCCGCGAAGTCGCCAAGCCTGCACCGGGATTCATCCACCTTGCCTTGAACCACGAGTGCTTCGTCAACGAAGCTAACACAGTTCTCTCCTTCCAAGCTCATCCCGAAATTTCGAATAAACTGGCCCAAAAAATGTTTCTTGAAGACGATAAGGAGTACAATGGGAACTCCACTGCCGAGCGATTGAAGGCAGAGGTGCAGAAACTCGACCAGCCAACTGATGGTATGAAATTGCTGAAGCGGGTTATACAGTGGCTTGACGAGTAATCTGGGGTTATGTTAGTGCTGATAAAGATCTAAATGGTGGTTGAGAACACGACTCAAATTTACTGCATATAAAGAGAGCATGATTAAGAGCGAAACTTAACCATGTTCAAGAGGTGCAACCAGAATCGTAGGAGCATGCAATCCAAAGCACAAGAGCGAATTAAGTTTCGACACATTTATGTTCTGGCCTTATCAGTATATTACTTTCCCAATGCATTCTGCTACGTACCTATCAGCATCAGAAGATTTACTCGGGCGCAACAACATTACGGTCACCAGACTGCCAAGGCCAGCCTTTGTAGTCCGAAGTCGTCGGTGGATTGGGTAGAAAACCTGGTGAGTTCGGGGATGAAGGGTGGTTCCAGACGGCACAGTAAGGAGTCAATTATCGGCGTTTGTATAAGAAAGGTTCGGGGTGGGGACAAGTATCCGGCACCTGGTCTTGCAGCTTCTCGGTACACTCCGGCCAATTCATCTGTGTTCGAAGGTTGACAAGCGTTCGTTCAGATTCTGGGCATCGCCAGTAAACCCAGAACCGCGAGAGCGCCATGGAGCTTCTACTAGGTTGCGACTTTCTCGTAAACGATTTGGTTCATGCCGCCACGAGCATACTAAAATACGAATGAAGGGGGTATCCGATACGTAATAGGGCGCACTGAGCTCGTTGAGGTTGACGGATATATGAAGGATGGATGGCATAAACTTAAGCCGTGCGGAATTAGCGTTAATCTGGGTCACCACCTCTATTACCTCAGGAGTTACATGTGTGGCCCTTGTTGATTCGAATCTTTCCTACTCGTAGTATTGTACCCTGGATTTTTGGAAATTTTCTCAGTTCGAGATTTTCACAACTCGATGTTTGATTGTTAGTTTATTAGGGCTGATTGGCTGGTGGGCGTCTCGGACGGTTGTATACAAGGAATAAATCATAAATCTGTTCGGAAATGTCACTATTACCGGTAAAGCGAGGGCATTGAAGAGAGGATTTTCAATACAACGCGGTTCAACAATGGTCAATATAACGTATAAATTGCCCGTTGGTAGCGGTAGTTCCTTCGGCGCCTTGTAAATGTTGAACAATTCTCGACCACCCGTAAAAGTTCTTGCCTGGTCCTTTGTTACCTGCCGTAAAAATGCCGAACAGCAGACTGGCCATTTATTCGTCAAGTAAGATATGTAATGACATTCGTTGACTTTCCTGCGGTGTCTTCGGCTATCTCTTTCTCCTTGTACCGATTTTGGTCATGGCGTACTTACCGTTGAAGGCAAATCATTCCCGGTTTCAGAATACCACACACAGGCTGTTTTCCCACGCAAACAGAGTAGACAAGATGCCTATATAGCCCGTGGACAAGGACCCGAGCTTAGCTGGCGACCCAAAATTGCGGGTGGGCCACTCCTAACCACAAAGCGAGCTTTGCTTAACCCGGCGCGGCGACATCGACACCAATCTTCGGATTCGTTCAAATCCCATTACCGTATCCTACATACAAATCTATACACTCTGTGAAGAGGTTGCCAGTAGCCCTCCACTTCCCGTGGACCAGAATGGTAGTGATCATCTGGCTGTTATAATGAGTGAACTTCGGCGTTCCGCCGCCATCATCCATGGGCTGTGAAACTCCGAACACGTCGCGGCCCATTTTCCTCTGCCGATTGATCGCCTTGACAACAGCAAGAGTCTGGTATACAGGGAAAGCCCCTTCTTCCGTCGGCTGCTTGTCCTCTAGAGTCTGCAGCCACTTTTCGATCTGCATGCCAAGAGAGAGGTCCTGACAGCGGAGAGACGCAGCCAATAACAGCCCCGAGAATCCTATTGTATAGTTATTCCGGATAATGGATGTTTGCATGTCGGTCCCTTTGGCAATCCGTAGCAGGAGGCGGGCCCATGGTTCTGTCTCCAAGCACTCACTGCCGAGACGCTGGGGGTCGCGAGATGGAAGATTGTGCAGGAAGGATGTGCATTGCATAATCCGAGCCACGACGTAGTAAGCAAAGTTGACGGCTGCATCGTGTGCTTGAAAATAGATGGGCGATGTTTCTGAAGCATCAACCACAAGCGGTTGTTGTGATGGTGGCAGATATAACAGCCACTCGTCGAGCCTTTTGGATTCATGCTCTAATCGCGCGAGGCGGTCTTCGGTGTCGTATCTGTCGGACGGCAGATCGCTTGCGAGGGAAACCGGGTCGGTATCTGTTTGGTCTTTCCAATGTTTGAGAGTTTCCTTCACATTCAGTCGATGGGATTCACATAAAATGCTTAAAGCCACGGCCCGTAGATCGTGGAGAGAGCCAGAGGTTCGTTCAAGGTCCCTTGGAAAAGCAATTGAGGGCAGATTTCGCTGTACATCTAGAGAACTGAAATATGTGCGCGCCCACCAGACCAGAAATTGCGACTGTAGCCATGTAGTGAGGAGAGCTCTGTACTGTGAATCTCCAGTGGTCTCGCGGAGCTTGACGAGAAATGCCGATAGACCTTGGACATGACAATAGTATCCGTCGAAATTACCCATAGACGCTTCAATGTAGCCAAAGATGACCAGAATAGTAAGGATCTGTGTGGCATTATTTCGGTAGTCATCTTGGGAGAGCGAAATAAATCTTTTGATCGCAGAGGAATAATACAACTGACTCCTCGTTTGGTGTATAAGGTTTGGACTGAATGTACCCATGGTCGCAAAGGATGTTGAGTATTTTCTCTCAGCATCAATGCGGCTGATATTGCACGAAGATAGAGCGAGGATGGTATCTTTCAACGCCGGAAACCCAAGCAGCTCAGAAGCGGAACGGAATATCGGATGTAGTGCTGGCAAGCAATGATCCTCCCAGTAAGTCGAGTAAAAGACATCTCGATCGGTATGTTGCAGTGAGTGGACGAGGTTGATGTTCGGAATTTGGGAACTTCGACTATGTTGGCTGAAGGGCTGCAGCCCCAAGCGACTTGAGTCAGATTCGGCTGGCCCCGTCTTCGGACCTGTCTTCTTTGGGGGGAGTGCGGTCACGACTCGGAACTTTAAGTCTAGCTCAACGCTCTCGCAGACTATCCCCAGCCTAGCACATGTCCCGCATGTCGGCTTTTTCTCATCACACTTGGTCATCGATGTCAGTGGGAGCCACGGCAACTCCTCTAGGGTAACATACTTTGGTGCGCCTTTTGCGACAGCTCTTGCAGCCATCACGCGACCGGACAATATCTGTTTTCTTGGGTCTAGGCGGAGCTGGTTTGTACATTTGATGCCGTTAGCTACCCGCACCCCAACGAGGGCTCAGTACTCGAGGAATATATGACTGTTTCCCCCTGAGGACCTAAGAAATAGAGTTAGATGGAACAGTGACGGCGTGTCTGAGCGAATACAGCACGGAAAGCGGGATACAATGCAAACAATACAAAATCAAAGGAATAATGTTTTTCCGACCTAATGATGGGTTTCATGCATGTCCATAGAGTCGGTTCCAAGGATTCCCTGGCTCTCGGTGGTCCACCAGCAAGTTGCGGCCCTCAAACAGTTGGCTACTGCAAGGTTTGTAACAATATATCAATATGGCAAACAAATAGTACGACATAGCCAATAAGCTAATGTATATATATGCCGCGATTAAGGTGCTAATTTTGTCTTCTTTAGCCTTTACTTGCTGCACACCCGCAAATCACCTTATAGGTTATACCTATAATAGGCATGGTAGGTATTTCGGAGAGCATCTCAATCGCTCCTTTAATACTAATTTGTTACAGTCAATCTGTGGATCAAGCTTCCTGCCAGCCTGGGGACGTTGCGAGAAAGATTTCCGACCGTCAAAGACGCGCTTTGAGTATGTAGCTCGGAACGCAGAAATTGCATGCAATTGTAGTCAAATTCGGCTTTCCTTGCTCACGAGCAGTAACCATGGCCTTCTGGAGCGTTGTTCCGAAGATTTAGGCATACAGTCTGACGGCAAAAGTGCTAACACCCTGTCCGTAACACGCTGCCCTAGAGATCTGTCAGCATCAGATCTGTTCGGCGCTCTACCTGGCATCGCTCCTCGATACCCTCAAAAGAACTTAGCCCGTATAAAACCTGTTAGGCAACAGTACGGTTGAGAGACAGATCGTTGACGACGGAAGCAGAGAAGCATTAGGCAAATATAACCCGGAATCTTCTAACTTAGCGACGACCCGATAGTCGTGCGTAATATCTAGGTACACGAAATAATGCCATAACCATTTCCCTCGAATATTTGGTCGGTTAACCGAGAAGTAGCAGATAGTCAATTTCGACCGTTTGGCCGTTAAATTGAGCGGTGGTATTTGTGAATCCATCACACGATATCAACGGAGGGCTTCGTCTGTTTGGAACGCCGAGCAATGCCAATAGAAGCATCTGCCTCGCTTTCACGTTTAGCGATATCAATAGATGGGTCGCTCATATCACCACGCCGGGCAATGTCGATAGAAGCATCTGCCTCGCTTCCACGTTTAGGGATATCGATAGATGGGTCGCTCATATCATCACGCCGGGTAATGTCGATAGAAGCATCTGCCTCGCTTCCACGTTTAGCGATACCGATAGGTGAGTTGCCTTCAATACGCCGGGCAATAACAATAGGAGCCAGGCTCCCATCGATGCTTTTAACAACATCCGCATTTACTGCATAGGAGTTGACATATGCCAGGGGAAGCGCTGACGCGGCCACAGCCAAGCAAATAGTAAGAGCGCGGAGTTGCATTTCGACTCGAAGGAAGGAGGTATGAGTTAGCGAGAGTCAACACATGGAATACGTTGGGAATGAAATCACTCACTGTATGAATGCCGGACACTAAGAAGAATTGTTGTTAAGTAAAGGATGAAGTGGATGAAGCATTGGGCTCTTGGTGGCATCTTATATGGCTCCGTTCGTATGACACCTTACAACGGAGCGCAAATATCAGCCTTGTTTCACCAGAAGTCTGGTCTGATTAACGGCCGTTTCAAAGAGCCAGACCGTGAATGATCCGGTATTGTTGAAAATCTTGAGTAAAAGTCACCTGCAACTAAATGCACGGTCTGTCACAAAAAAACTTGATTAACAAGCATAACTGCATTAAAATGCGTGATGTTCATGTTCAACAGTAATAATAGATTTCAACATGATATGGTTTTATCGATGATACCCTTACAGTAGCCCGTTCCGTAGATCATCACAATCTAACTCAAACTTATGTGAATTCCTCTCGTATCTAGAATACAGGGCAGCTTACAAATATTGATTTAGCTTTACACCGGCGACTCCATAGTCTGCCGCGAACAGCAATTTCCTCTTGCTTGCCTGTGATCACCACCAGTGGTTGGACGAATTACCGGATACTGTTCGACAGGAAGTTCCAGAGATTAATAGATTCTCTGCTAAAGATTGTCTGGCGGGGCTTGCAAATATCGGGTTACATTAAGTTAAGCTCGTCCTTCAGTACTCTTTTCTTCTTCGAGAACTTTATCATGCAGCGTTTGAACCTACCACAGCGCGCCTGGGTGGCATTCTATAACCAGAGTGATCCTGCCTATGTCGGCCTAGAACATGAACCAGATGCCGAGTCAGTTGAAGATATTGCCACACAGAGACCATCCAGGTCGACGCTGCTCACGCGAGCATTCTCTCCAAATGCTTGGTCGTTGGTCACTTTTGTATTATTGACCATGCTCATTGGCAAATTCCCTCGGTGTGGATGTGATTGTGAAGATAAAATTTCAATATGGGCGATGCCAGATTCAGGTTTGTGCGGGTGGCGCGTATCATGCGGAAAAAAGTCCCTAACAACTGAATCCTTTTAGATATGCCAGAACCACTATTAAGACTGGAGAAAAGACGATTCACGAACGCGGTCCGAGACAACTCCAATGGAAGTCTCTACTCTTCAATCAATCCGGATGAACTGCAGTATGCCGGCCTTCCTAGCCCCAAGATCGATAAGAACTGGAATAAGCTTATTGGCGGTTTGTACTCACGATATTATTCATTCCACTGTCGTTCTAATGGCTCTATAGGTCGATACTTTCGCTTAGAAGACTCTGAAGTATCACTACTGAACCAAGACCCCGAGCTCCCAGCGCTCACGAAGATGCATAGCAATGAGCGAATAGCCAAAGAAGGTTTCTACGGCGGCCCTGACGTGCTTCACAGTCTCCATTGTTTGAATGCTATACGAAAACATTTAGACTTGGATTATTACTCAGACTCCATGGCTCTCCCACCAGAGTATCGCCGTATACACGTTGACCATTGTGTTGATCATCTTCGACAGGCGATACTCTGCCACGGCGACCTTACACCGGTCACTATGAAACCTGTTGCGGCGATCACATCTTTGCCGTATTCGGTCATATTATACCTTGGACAAACCGAGCGTGAGCATACCTGTCGGAGCACGGAAGCCATAAGGAATTGGGTCACTGCCCGCGGGCAGCGAACGGGTCGCATTAAGGCTCATCATCCGAGCCCATGATGAACGCTAGTGATGAACGGGCTGAATGGTGGTGAATCTAATTCTAAAACCGAAGTCAAATTGTTGGTTGCATTAAGCCGTGATTCGATAAGGGTCGGGTTGGGGGGGGAGGGGGAGGGGGGATTCGTCGCTTTCGTCGGTCATGAACCATACTTAAGCAATCTTTCTGGGGTGGCTTTTCTATTTGTTGTTGGAGATAAGTAGTATACTAAGGGAAAGGCAAAGGTGGATACATATACGGATTCGGGAAAGCAGCTCCCTTCTTCCTACTTCCTGGTGGACCACATTGAACTTATTCTTCATATATGAGGACATCTGTATCGGTATTGGCTTTCTGAGGCTACTGGTAGCGGGAATAACAGTTCTAATTTCCTGGGAGTCACATCTTTGGAGTAAGCTTCGCCTATAATAGTCCCTTGTTTCTACATAATTGTGTTTAGTAACCATCACAGAGAATTATGGGCTTCTTAAGAGATGAACCCGCCCCGCCCATATGGAAAAATACTTTCCAAGTCTTCTTTTCAGATCTTTTGAAATGATATCGTCGGGCTTGCGGAATGTAGCGTATCATTAAGTTCATGTTTCTCGGCTTTATCTACCCCTAGCAGTATGGACAAGGTAGATATACCACGGATCGCCTAAGCTTCACTACGGTGCAGCCAAAGCAGTAGCACGAATGTTGCCTCGCTTGTATTCGCCAATGATGCATGGCTGCTATTTGGGAAAATCACGTACTCTACAGTTAAGTCAGGAAGTCGTCATTTTCGACGCGCGAATTCGCTTAGTTTAGCCTTCGGTGTCTACTGTACTTTAATAAGAACTGTCAAGCTTGATGAATGAGCTTCACTTAAACTCCTGATGTGCTGTATAATGAGACAAAGAATCAAGCATTTAGTACTTGTGCCTCTTTAGTGACCACTCATATAACCTCAGTGGCCATTCGATCCAATGATCCACTACGGAAAGGTAAGCCCCGGCCGGCATTATCAACTTTCGCAACTTGCTATACTAACCCTGTATACATCTGAACGGTCCTCTGCAGCGACCTTGTTCCCAATAGCTAACTCAAGGCCACTAAAAGCCCTCTCCGCGCATACCAGAGTAGCCTTCACCGTGGGCCTTCTATCTGGTTGAAGACGTCCTTTTGTAGGACGCGTGCGGTACATGCACCATAGGATGAACTCTTTGATTATGGTAATATTGGGAACATAAGATCCCTGCTCCGGCTTATAGTGAACTGGAACGTTCCCGCTGTCAACAAGGAACCTGAGGAGTCAGTAAACAAGGAAATTGAGAAAGCATATCGTGGGTACTCACCCAACCCAAAGCCTAACGTACCTCCGGTGAATTGCTTTGACACTGGCAGCACGCGGATTTTGTCTCTTACTTGCTGAATCGAAAGTCCGAAGATGAATTCCCATATCTCAAGTTCGGAATTGGACCCAGGATGAGTTGAGTGCTTAAGGTAAGGAGTAAAAGAATGAGCCGGTTTGTTGTAAATGCGAAATTCCGGTGGAATTCTTGGTCACTATCCATGGGATTTTCCCAATCTTTATAGCTCATCTTTGGAACTTGGAACTGGCTTAAAATAGCTAGTGGTTTTGAGGCAAAAGGTGACGTATACCTTTGTTCACCAGGTCTAACGCGCACATGTTCCTACGACGTATGCAATCCGTCCTAGGAGCAATATGCACGATATACAGCCGGTTTACCACCCTGCTTCTACTAACCAAAATGCATATATCGCAGTTCCCAGGACTTCGGTGATCCATCTTAAAGATGCGGACCTCAAGAAAACGTGGCAGCATCCTGTGCTAGCTCGACCATAGGAATGCCTATACGTTATCTTAAATTGCTTACAACGCGAACTTGAAACAACTAGTATAGTTGCAGTGGGATCCCTAAGAAATAATATCAAAGTGTGCATTTTTGAAGGTATGGCGGGCTGCTCTTGACCGCCGGATCCCCTCCTAGGAACTAGAGGGAGATAACCTGTGGTCCTAACCATGTTGAACCTATCTTAAGTTAAGAATGTATCATGGTTCCTGCTAATACAAAAGGCCAGCCTAGTCCCCGTTTGCGAATGTTTTAAATATTGTTTATTTTCTACACCTTCCCTTCGTATCTCTGCAATATAGCGCTCCGGTCATCCCCCTTAGCTGAAAATCTTACGCAAGATCTTCAATACGCCTTATATAATTGCGCGTCCGCTGTGAAGCCTGTCTCTCTGAGCGGGACCTCGAATTCAAATGCACTTGAGCCACCTTTCCAATATACGTGCGTTAAATCTTCCGAATCACAAGAGCTTTTGTCTAGAACGAAATCGAAGAGAAAGACAGTAAGCAAAGTCCCACCTCTTTTTTCAATATGTCAAGCTTGTCAACTTATACACGCTGGATCTATTACTAGATACGATCTACGCCTACAAACGCCGCTCCTCTGCCCTTTTCAAAGTCTTAAAAAACATCCTTATTGTAGACGGATAATAGATGGTTTTTATGTCTCACTGCGGAATATAGGCAGAGCCACGGTAGTTTTCCTTCATTTGCCAGTCTTTCGCCTTGTCAAGGTCGCCTCTCAAGTTAGGACGGATTAGCCAGGATTAGTTGTCCCCATTTTTGTGGTGAGACTCTGTACGCGCGAGGATTGTAGGTCAAGTCATGTTCATCGGAATCCTTCATGCGAACTACAAATTTGCACTTCTACTTCCTCCTGTGATCTTTATGGTATTTCAATTATTCTGCGACTGAATTCCCCTCTTGACAGACCGGAGCTATGAAGGGCAAGCAACATTCGATAGCATTTGTCTAAGTTATTGGAATTGACCGTGTGTGTAACTCCTCTCTAAAGCCGATTTATATAATTCTGAAACCTCTCTTGACCGAGCCGTGACGATTTGCACTATGGAATCTGTTTCTCTGCAACAGACAAGAGGACTGTAGAGGAATTCAAATCTAAACTGATCGGAGGGCTACGTATTACGAAGAACCTACAGTAAAGCAATACACAATGTCTAACTGATTAACTACGCTGAGTTTGATCGGGTCGTCATTAATCATTTGCGCAACATAGGCAAATAAATGGCGAACATCATTTACAATGTTCAACAGACAGTCCGCAAACGACGATATAAGAATGAATTACATAGATCCCTCACATGGTTGTCGTCACCTCTAAACGCCGTCGTCGGTTCCTAGCTTGTAGAGAAGGTTTGTTCCTCGGGGGGATAACACAACAATCGATGCGACACCTTCGGCTCCTGATCTCATCGCGGTTTCTAGCCTGGAATTGCACAATCATTAGGATTTGAGAGTCGAACAAAAAGACTTGAGGGCAGTCGTATACGTAAGCGTACCTTCGAGTAGTCAGTTACATGCATATTGAATGAGAGAAAGAAGTGAAACGTGTTATCATACCCTCTGAGCTCTCTTTGGAGTTTGGTGGTCGCTGTACTAACGGGTCCCCGGGATCCCCATTCCTTTCCCCTGACAGTAAGGGGCCTTTCCATTTCCCCGATCATAGCAGCGCGCTCAAGAACCCGTCCTGAGTGTGGCATTGTCATTTGGTAATCAACCATCGCTGAGGAAATTGTCGATCCTCTCGGTCCAACCTGTGATCGTGGCCAGAGGAGGGGAGCACCGGGCAAAACAGCTGAGTGGCGACCCTGACTAGTAAGTGCAGAAGCACCAGAAAAAGCTTTCGCAAGACATGGGACCATGAGGTGGTTGAAGTCCATCGTCACATCAGATTCTAAAAAGTCATGATATTCCCTCGTCCACGGTTTTGTAGTGACAGTAAGTTCGTTATCGACAGTGAGGGGCGGACGACACGGCTCGAGCATCAGGTCAAATACTGTGACCGGCATATCTCCTAAAATAACCGTCAAAGGTAGAGAGTGATAGGAAGGACAAACTCCTTTATCAGTTTATTGTTCAGGTAGATTGGTTTAGGTTCACTAAATATAAACGCCCAAACACTGTCACATTCACTTTAGCTGGCCAACAAAAGATACATGATGCCCCGATCACATTTCACCATCCTTCACTTCAGCGATGCCCCCAGAACCTGCATGCCAAATATCGTTTAAGGCGGAAGCATGTGTCCAATCAGGAACAATGTTCATCGTTGACCCGGCACGTATAACCCATGTCTCTGCTCTATTGTATTTTCTGTCGTGCCAACGTTTCAGGTCAAGTACTGAAACAGTTCGAGGGTTTCTTTCTTAGGAAATGAGATGTATATTATTCGACCATAGGCGTCGGTTCTAAAATTAGTAGCCATCTAATAATAGATTATCGGTGCAGGGCGGCTACAGTATCTTGACGCAGAATCTTATACGCTAAGAAACACGATACGGCTAAACAGAGTTTGATTACTATGTAACCTGATACGGACTAGTGTGCAGACGAGGTTCACAGATCACCCACTCAGCAATGTACTGATTGTCCAGGCCTTCAGAAGAGGCGCTATCACCTACCGACAGCAGCAGACCGGAACATGGCCAACGAGGCCGATATTCGTACCCAAAAGAACCTATATCAAATTAGTTTTGCTATGGACCACGTGGCATGAGAAAGCGATATAGGATAGATCATCCTACTGAAGCATATGGGTATCTTAGCCCACCCCGTAGAACTATCAGTATAATACTCCAACTTGCGTGATTTGCTCTCGCATGTAAAGCCTTGGGGTCTGTTTGGTTGCAGGCTTGTTAAAATTCCTGCTATAATATCCGATAGTCTAACAATCGACTATGAAAGGATCACTATTCAGAGCACTACAGCCATTCTCGAAATCGCCTTGACCAGTACACACTTAGACTCTCTTTCTCAGCCCCACCGCCAAGGCCTTAGCGCAGATCATCTATTGAGCAGACCGCACTTAGTTGAGGACGGTTGTAAAATATATATTGTATGGTATTGTATCCCCTGGTATAAGACTGCAGCCTGCGCTTGATTCCTAGGGTATGAATCACTGTCCTATACAAGTCCCAATTTACGGCGGCCCTCAACTAAGTATGGTCTGTCAAGGTGATTTAAGAATGACTGTATTTTGTAACACGCTATTAGATATAATAATGGAGAACTCAGAGTTGTTGTCAATGAATGAAGGCTAATTCAACAGAAGATAGATCATCCACAAATAAAACAGCCCCTGATAACTACTATTATATGATGAAATGAATTCATGGATTGATCATGAAGCGGTTGCCAGATCTTTGTTTCCCCATATCAGCAAGGTGGTGGAATTGAATACGGGCTCGGGAAGAGCGGGATGCTTGTCAACACAGCTCTTCAGCAACTCGATCGCTTGGGAGTATCACGTGCTTAGATGCTCTGTGCCAAGCTTCGCCTTATGAATATCCACAAGCTGCATATCTAGCTGATCGGCTTCCTCCAACCGTCACTGAGTTTTTTACGTCAACGCAACCTTAGCTCTGCTGTTAAGGCCTCATGGGAGCCACTAGGTTTTGCTCCCTCTCTGAGGGCCCTTTTCAGCGGAAGTAGATGATGACGGCAAGCTTCACGCGACCTTGGCCTATGACAACCAGAAAAATCGAACACCACTCCAGCCAAAATATCTAAAGACGCTCCTTTCGAGAGCAGCCAGCGAAATCTTTCAAAATCGCCTTGCTCGTATGCTTCGCAACAGAGCCTATCGATACCACCTTGAACCTCTCGAAAAGAAGCACCATGATCGATCAACCAACTTAAAAGCTTTTTGTAATTGTGTGAACGAGCTGCGCGCTCAACCATGTCGCCACAAGGAATGTGCTTCAAAGATGCTCCAAGCTGGACCAGATTATCCACCTTTGGAATCGAACCATTCCTTCGATAGGCGTGAGATAAGATATGGCCTCGCGATATGTAATGACATCTGAATTGACAATCCTCGTATCGCACTTCCGAAGTGTCGTTTTTAAGGGTCTGGATCTTTTTCAAAATGGGTACAAGGGCCGAACAGCCGAACAAAGACCATGTCCAACGGCAAAGCGCACGGAAATGTAAGTAATCAGGAAGGTAAAGATTCATTGCGATCGATTCCAAGATCTCCTGCGGTAGGTCATAGAAAGAAGCCTTCCTTTTGTCTGTATGGTCCATATTGAGGCTTGTATATGGTATATAGTAGATGTTTGGTCTTGGCTCAATGTTAGAGGATAGGAGGCGTTCGAGTGTCACCGAATTGATGGCTATTGCTCCGGATTGTGGTAGGATAACGCGGGCTACATCCAGTAATATTAGCAATCTGGGACGTGGTGAGTGATTTGCTCAAGACAGTACCTGGGATAAACTCTCAGATAAAATTTTGAGAGGATACTATCAAGGTCGGAGCTATTGTGCCTATGCTTTGTCTCGTTGCGAGGATGGTGAGATGAAAGAGACAACGTGGCACCGGTAAAGGCGGACAGCATGGCTTTGGCAGAAATCGTATTAATGGAATACATGTTTACAGAAACAAGGCGGTACAGTAATACTGTGCCCCTCAAATTGATGCGGCCTGTCGAATAATTATTCTACGCTAAGGCCTTGGCAGTGAAGCCATAAAAGAGTTATTAAGTGTTTATCGGTCAAGCCGATGTTGAGAACGACTGTACTATAAATTGTGTGTCTGCGGCGGGCAGGAAAGTGTGACCCACGTCCTCCTGGACTGCCCCGAGCTAAGACATCTACGCCGAAAACTCCGGGAGAAGGTCGGGGACGCATTCAATAACATATCAACCCTGCTGGGAAGACTTCGAGAGAGTGACACTGCTCCGCGAGCCAAGACGGTGGAGGCCGTCTTGGACTTTGCAGAAGCATCACAACGGTTCCAAAGCCGCGCGCCATGAGGGCAGCAATCCAAAAACAACGGCTACGAGGCCACGGCAGGCTCCAACGAGGCTCCAAGTTCGTTTAAGAAGTGATACAAGTCACATGTACGTACATTGATATATAGTTGTGGTAGGCTGCATATCGCTTCGGCAGTTGGCTCCAAGGTCACGTGATGCATATAGATTGTCGCGATTACCTTACGAATACTGCATGAAACCGGTCGATAGATGATCCGTCGGCATAGCTTATGTAACTAGAATGGACCCATAAATAGTGAGAAATAGGGGTAATGGAAATACAGAGTCATTTACATCTCCAATTGGGTGGATACAGGACAAATCGTGACATAGATCTATAGGAGTGGCTGCCTATTAGGCAGACACTCCGCGAGGCAGCAGGGAGATGAGCTGCTGCAACTATAAATAGCTGGATCTCTCCATATAGATCAATTATCACACTTGTGCCTTAATCCAGGGTTACAACTTCGGCGAGGGGTCAGCGTAAATGAAACCATCCATCCATCCATCCATCCATCCATCCATCCGACTGTACTATAACAAAGGCACTGTCTTCGCAAAGTTCATCAAGATGCTGGTGCTCGAGAGCTGAGTTGACGTCCTCAATAATTGAAAAAAATATTGTATGGTGGGGCAATTGTTGGGAATAGGTACAAAATGAGTGAATGAAGATGAGTGGATCAATCACGAAATAGGTGTGTGTGTGAGAGAGAGAGAGAGAGAGAGAGAGAGAGAGAGAGAGAGAGAGAGAGAGGAGAAGAAGGGAGGGTGAGAGCCAGGAAATCACAAAAAAGTACCACTTTTTTTTGGCACCTTCTCTATTGACCAACCCTTGTCCTTGTGATTTTTTTCAGAATCTCTCGCTCGGCTGTGGGTCGAAGAAACAAATGCCCTCTTATTTTCGATGGCCACAGAACATTCCTGTAGCTTTCCCATTGCTTCTCAATATCCTCCGTTTTAACAGCGCAGGTAAGTGAATTTTCCACGTCGTCATCCACGGTATTCAACGGGACCCAGTTATCGCATGATGGACCGTCTTGAGCATCCACAAGTATACCTTCCCACGTATCGAAAAGCCCCAAATGACGAATAAACCCCGGTCGATCGTGGCTCCAACCCGACGAGTACCAAGATGAGAGAACTAGTTCGATGATCTGCGGTGGTCTCAAGAATTGAATACTGTAACGCCTCGTACAAAGAAGCCCCAGTTCCCGGCTTCGGTTTCGTTCTGGTCGAGATATTGCTCTTTGACCAGGTCACCTTCACCTTCAATCCAAGAGGGGACGCTAGCGACATGGAAAGCCTTCCGTCCGAGAAAGCCCCATATGAAGTCAACTATCTCAATGATGTCCATCTTCTCTTTGAGCGGCCTCCCCGGGTTATTGCTCCACATTTCGACGGCAGACTCAAATGCGCTATCAAACTGTTGGGCATTTGGCCACACCTGTGTTCTGACTTTCCAGAGGGTTTCAATGGCAACCCAGTGTGCGGTCAATGCCTTGTAGAATCGTTCATAGGCGCTCTTTCTGTCCTCTGGAATCATTGCATTTGCGCATGGGCTAGGAATCTGGGAAGGCTTCGGTAAATCCCCTTCGCTAGCCGACTCTTCCGTTCTGTCTGGCTTACCCAAACCGGTTGAATATGGAAAGACTGACTTCACATAAGATTTCCTTATTGCCGTATCAACGTAAAGATCAAAAAGCAGACGCAGCCCTTGCCATCGGCATACTACATCCCAAACAACTCCATCGGGTATGACCTCCCCGCAGTCCAGTGGTTTCAGCATGTTGAGATACCATCTGCGGCGTTCGGGGTTTGCTGGAATAGATGGCTTGCTGTAAAACTCAGATGAGAAGTCGCCATACATGTGAATAGACTGATTGAGGGCAAGATCATAGTGATGTTGTGGGGCGTGTGTCTATTACATTGTCAGACAGTCAGCAGTTCGTCAATGAAAGTGGTCGACCATACAATTATGGACCTGAAAATCTTCAACCGAATGCTCGGCGCGTCAAAAACAGAATGGATAAATTTGCAGCATCGAGCAAGATGCAAGGCGTCGTCTATATTATCAAGAGATTCAAATACCCAGACAACCATTTCCGGGGGCAGGTCGAGAAGCCGGCACATCTTGTGGGAACCGAATTGCGGTGAGAGCTGAAACGACTTTTTGTGCTTCTCAAATAATCTTGGCCCCCAAAACCACTACGACCGCCCTAGTTTTCCCATATCCAAAAATAAACACCTCCTCCCCAACGCCCACCCTCCCCCAACTACCATGGCGACTGTTGTTCACACTCCTCCCAGCCCAGCAACTGCAGTCCGCCAAACCACTAATAAAATGGCAAGAAACATCGAGACCTGGCAGCGTAAGATGATTATCCACATGATCTGTAGCAAAATCAGACTTACTACATCGCACATGGCAAAGGTAGCGCAGTGCAGTGAGAACGGTCAGCACTGTAAAGAGAATGGTAAGCAATCGTAGTCGCATATAATGGGGCACCGCTCAGCCTGCTCATTTCCCCACATATTCTCCAGCAGCCAGAGCCAGCTGAATATGACGACATATATGCAAAGATCTCCACATAGCCCGAAGTGGCCAATCCCGTCGCGTCGTTGGTGATCAACACGGTCGCCATGGGTTCAAAGAGAAGGAAAGAAGGGGTAAGGTGGTTCCGATCCGACGAAATAGGTCAGAAGGTTGAGACTGTTGTTACTCTAGGGCTAGCAACAACAGTAGATTAGCTTGGCTGGAATTGTTCGGGGACATTGGGTTAGCTACCGCAGGACCTAAAAAATTCACCATATCCCAGGCCCACGCAAGAATTTCGTTTCATTTCACAAGTGGCTTCTCCTGTGACCTGGATCTGCAATAATCCATGTCCCTAGTTCCCAAAATGTCTGTCTCGTCTACTCTCTCAATTAATAACCTCAATTGCGAGTGCCTAGCCTTTTGATTTCCCGCATTTTGCTGCTTCTCCGCCCCATTCCCCGCCTCAGCCAAAAAGAAATAAAGGGAAATTATGAGATTACTTTACACACCACCTTGAGTAGCTAGTCAACTAATAGTGGCTGTCAGTGGCCTAAACTTGTGGCGGATTGGTAATGCGGAAGATCTTTATCCCGATTTCGTAGGTCGCTTATGACATCCCCAAATTCTTATGGTGTCAATCTTCGGTTGTGAGATAGTGACCACCCTTTTCAACGAAATGACCGCCGGTGAAACCTGCCAACCTGTTGAGAACATAGTAAACAACTTCATATCTCAAATTCATGACAGCGGTCTAAACCCTCTCAGGCTTGCCAATATTTCCGTCTCTGAATTCTATACCGAATTGAGGAACCATTTGTCGGTGATCAATGACGGCGGCAGTATTGCCCTTGGCCGTGGAGAATATCTAGTTAGCATCGGCCTAAGCAAGAACTTAGAGAGCCTTTTCTCGACTACAACACCGTTCGTCAGGGAAGGCCCACCTGTGACCTGGACGAAGCTTATTCTCTTTGCAGGTCCTCAGTATGAGGGTCCAGCGCAGCTCAAGGTTGGTGACTCCAGCGTGGAGCTGTCAAAGGATGACTTCAAACTCCTGCACTCCGGTAGACCCTGGCGATTTCTCTCTCCTTGGCCCGATAAAGACAATTGCATGAAGGAGCTTGAATCGAGCCAGATGGCACTGCACGAGCTTGCTGATTCTCGGAGAACAATAAGTGAAGGTGAGCGCCTTAAGGATTAGTCCCTTAGTTTTATATTTGAATCGCTCGTTCGGCGGCTATACTACTATAGATTCCACAAAGCCGGGGGTGCCTATCATCATGGTTCCTTTCTTCGCGGCCAGCCCAGCTCTATTCGACCGGCTCGGGAGACGAGCAGCAGCCCTTCACTTCCTTCCTCCCTGCGCAAAAGCGCTTCTCGACGTGGGCCTCGGTACAAAGTGATCAAACGAAGGGAGACAAGAGAAAGTATTTGATGTGAACTTATGAAAACCATGGATTCAAAGAGAACATATAGCCAATTTGAGTTCTTTGTCAAGACTGCTAAAAAATACCTCCGATGATGTTGCTTGTTTCCTGGTCTGCACCAGTTTCGCATCATAACAATTAGCTTTTTCAACAAGACAAGCCAGTGCTAAGGATGGTGCTTAGCTTCCTGCGCGTAGGTGCATCCATTATTAATGTTTGCATCAGAGAAGCTAGCAGACCACATCATGATTCCGCCAAAGGCAGTATCGCCCTTATGCTGATTGACAAGGGAGGCGAGATCGCTCGGTGCGAGGTAGTATTGCGAGCCGCTCTGGGTTCCCGTGGCTCTAAGCGGAGATGCTGGTACGCCAATAAAGACCTTGGCATTAACAGAGGGAGTGTTCGCGATATTGGACACCCACTGATCGTAATTGATTGCCTTGTTGACAGAGCAGCTAGGATTATTATAGAATTGAACCCACAAGTAGTCAAATTGGGCCGCGGTGACGACCTCTTGCATATTAGGATCTGGGATAGGACACTGCGGTGCAGCAGTTATGTAATAAGTATTAGAGGAGTCAGATGCGAAATTAGAGCGTAATTTGCTAATCAGATACTGATAGTACTGGTTGCCACTATTACGTTTAAGGTCGAAGTCCTAGCCGTTGACGAAGGTGCTACCGAAGGGTCGGGGGATATTGCTTCCGTCCGTATTGCCATACGCTTCCCATAGATTCTGTCCGATGATCTCTGCTTCTTGTTGGGATGAGAGCGAGTAGTTGCCTACTGCACCACCCAAGGACAATATCACCTTAATCCTATTTGACTGACATTGCTGGATAGCCGCGGCTAGGGTGTCACATTGCCGAGGCTCGCCAGACGCTGATATGGAGCATGACTGGCCAATTGAGCCAGATGGAATGGTCTGGCCATTTCCATACTGGTTCAAGAAGGCGAATACAATGATATCTATATCGGAATCTGACTTGCAGTAGGTGGACAAGTCATTATTCTTAACAGCGCTGGCACGGTTCTGACCCCAGTAGACAACATTCTGAGTGTCGGACCCAACGGGGGTAAGCGAAGAAGATGTTTCTGAGGTGCTCGCACTTGAACCTATTGCAGTAACTGGGGATGGACTTATTACCGTAAGCGTATTAGCTGTGGAAAACGATAACTTGGACGAGGACTCTGGAGCTGGACAAATGCAGCCGGGTAAGGATTCCGGGTAAGAGTGGGATTTCCGGTTTAAAGGCACACTCCTAAACCCTTTCGTAGGATGTTTTGTGTTTTTAATCGATATTGAAACTTCGCTACAAAGAAATTCTGAGCTCTTCATACCTTCGCAACTGTTAGTCATTGGTTCTTTACTAGGTTCTTATACCCACAATCCATGAGAGCTGTCTCTAGATTGTCTGCACAATTCTCGGAAAGCAAAAGCGATCTCTCATGACCGTCCTAAAAAGAATGCACTGAGCTCATCACATCCTTAGACCTTTCCCAACTATTGAGCAAGCTACAAAGATCTTCAGTGGGTCGCGATATCTGAAGGTTGGCACGGACCAAGGCGGCTAACTCCAGAAACAACAGCCGGGGAGTCATGTGGAGGAATAGGTGTGTGAATGTGTAGAAGCTTGCTTTAGCTTAGACGGTCGATAGCCTATCAGAAACCATCCCTTTTTCATACATTTACTTTGGTCAGCCGAGGGAGGTGTTCAGGCTTTAAATCTTTCGCTGCCAGGATGAAGAACACCGGGCATCCATTCAGATGTGCCACAGCACCATAGTCTTTAACTAACGCAATATTCACTCGTTACTGGTGTTCAATACCCTGAAGCTCACTTTACTGCGGTCACCATGATACTTTTTATTCTCTTTTTTGATTTTTTTGGCCCATCTTGACAAAGATTAATGCGAAATAATTCCGAGCTGGCCGTGGAATTTAGTTGTGCCTACCTGTCCGTGGGTAAAAAGTGCTCAGAGCCATTGGGAAAGAGCTAAGTGCCTCTTGATCCAAAAATTCGTATATCGTGGTCTAACATATATGAGAACCATGAATTCGTACAATTAGGAAAATGAGGCGTGAAATGAAATTTTCTTTCGTACACTGCATATAGTACATCCGTGCATTACTTTCGTATCATCAATAACATACCCTAAGCTTTGGCATAGTCAATCCGTATGGTGAGCAATTCGGAAAGTGAGCAATTCGCGTAGTGAGCAATTCGCGTAGTGAGCAATTCGCGTAGTGAGCAATTCGCGTAGTGAGCAATTCGCGTAGTGAGCAATTCGCGTAGTGAGCAATTCGCGTAGTCAACCCGCATAGTGCGCAATACGCATAGTGAGGAATACACGTACATAGTGGTTATTTGATTGCTTTCATTTTTCCTTAGCTTACCTACATGCTGAATAAGTAACGTTATCATACAAGATGAAACCAAAACGTTACAATACGTTACTTACAGAACATTACATAGAAACAAATGTGGCGGTGCAGGCCCTGGTAATAGTATTCAAATTTCTCTAACCAGACCTTGTAATAGGCTTTCTTTCCTATTACGCCAATCTATGTCTTAGAATATATAGTTGTTAACTACCTACTCGCTCGTAACGACATCTTGGATTTCTAAATTAAACCTTCTGGGGGCGCATCCTTTCTAACGATAATGGTAGAGAAATAGAACTAAAGAGGGCGTATATGTTCTAAAAAGTGTTCTTTTAATATTATTTTCTTGATACTAGATATCGACGGAATGAGTGAATCAATAATATCAAGTGTATAGAGATATGGAACTCCGACAAAACTTGGTCTTACCTAGAGCTAGAATCCCTTGTAGGCTCGAGAGGGGCTATACCCTTACAAAAAAGCCGGTATCACCTGGTTGCATTTGCGACGCTAAAAAGCAAATAATATACACTATATATAATTTAAAACGTAGTATAGTACTACCAACAATGAACCTATTGCTTTACTTCACCCTTGATCTCGTGCGTCGGTCAGGAAGCCTGATGTCCGTCTAAGCTTGCCGCAGGGAGACCGTAGCAATATCTAGGAAATAAGGTCCAACTTGCCTTAGGGTCATCTTCTGACTCTTGAAGTCACACAGCTTTCGTTTATCTTTTGCGTTGAGCTTCTTTCGTGATTTTGTTTCGTCCACATGATCTAGATAGTGCTGAGTCGATTGTTGTTTTGCCTAGGACCTAGTGAGAGGTCTGCGGAGGCTAATGACCTGATTCGTGTCACGAGGTAGCGTTTAACCTTGATGGGTAGGAGAATGGTTTTGAACCTTAGACTCTGTAGAAGAACGTCCGTTGCCGTGTGATATAAAGGAGCCAGAATCTTTTAGTAAGTCTTCCTTCTTGTTTTCTTCGCTGGTCACACAGCTTAGGGGAGAGTAAAGTGATTGCATTGGTTTGATTACCATCGCACGTAGAGAGCAACTGAGCTAAGAAGTAACCTACTCACACTAGCTTATATCCTCCGCGCGGAGATCAGAGCTATTGAGGATTCGAGGATCACTAATCTTAGAATAAGGATTGGGTTAAACGGCATAACTTTGGCCGAGGGGCTGTGGGCGTGTCACATCCCTAGATAGCTTGTTTTTGATGTCATGTATATGCAGAGGGTTTGGTTACATAGAAGCTTGATCACAAGGTTGAGTTCCCTAGTTCTTATCGATCGTATAAGGCTCGAGGATTCGAGGATCAATAAATTCCTTAAATCCGGGAGTTGTTAGATCCGAACTGCATGGTGAACTTGAACGAGAAAAGCAAGAAGCAACTGTGCTGCTTATGCTGCTTTTAGTTGACTCGTCACTAGAACTTGAATAGAAGAATTGCTCCGGATGTTCCTCGACAAACGAGTGCAATGTGGGAACGGGCATGGCTATGTTTTCTAGCAGTTAATACTTATGTTCAAGACGCGGAGGTGGGTAGCGGTAAAAGCGAAGTTTCTTCTAAAGCTGGTCGGCCCGCTCTATGGAAGAATCTTGCGCTTCTGCCTTATAGGGTCGCTTTCTCTTTCTCGGGAGCTTTGGATTTGACCAAATAGCTTTGTTTAGCTTGTGGATGTTATGCAAATGATGTCGAAGGCCACGCTCATCGGCAAAAGCTTGGCCACATCCATAAATTGGCTCCGCTCCAGGCCCCTGGTTTCTAGGCATATGCTTTTCTTCAATGTGCTGCTTTAGATTGCCACTTTTCGACCATTGATGTAATCGGTCTTCTGCTTTGAGGTCTATGTTCCACAAGCAAAAGGGGTAGTATCTAGGCCGGATCACTATATTTCGGTATACAATCACTTCACAATGCTATGTCCTCTATGACTGAATATAAGAAGAGCAATAAGCTCGCTATTGGCTTGATTTAAACCATTCCATGCACTCGTAACAGAATTTCAGCTCTTGTTCTGAGATTTTAAGATCTAGAGCTATCTCACGTCGAAAATAGTTATGAATGTGAGCACTTCTGTCAGACTTTTTCATACTAGGAAAATCAGCATATATTTCAGCATTATGTTTTAGGGCGACTCACTATCTGATTTCTTCGAGACAATCTCTAGCGGGGCAGCGATCTTGGATGGGGCTTTCCCGTGGTAGATAAGCCACGCCGATATCGCGTTCACAATAAGTTTTTAGGTCGTCCACGAAAAGAAGCATTTCATCAAACGAGAGCTCCCTATCAGAAGACATAAGAGCTAAAATATAGGCAAGTTCGGGCATAAGTAAGGATTGAGCCCGCGTAGAAACGTCGTTGTCACTTATTACCAGCTCTGCCTTACCCCTATTAAGGATTCTTTGGTCTCGTTTCTCTCGTACCTAGCGGTTCTAGTATTCCTTTAGTCCTACAAGGCGGAGACGAATCAAGGTTTTTCTATAGTTCAGCTTCTCGGCAACTGCAACACTTTTGTCGCTGTGTGATGCTTCAAGCTGCTTGATTCGACGTCTAATATCGACCACTTCTGGCGTCTATAGGATACTCGCCTCAATTTTAGCCGGCAGTTCCCCTAGAAGCCCACGTTCATAAAACCTCTTAAAGCCTTGGAAGTACTCGATATGACTCGACTGCTCTTCTTCTCCGAGAACGGCCGAGACTATATCAATCGAAGAGCAGTGTAACAGATATTCTTTGGGATATGTCCCCGCGTCTTTATGTCTATATATTTGAGACACCAAGGCAGAACCATGTTTTCCTGTACTGAAGTCAGCAAAATTGTTTCGTTTAGCGGTTTGTGCGCTTTGATTTTCCTTACCTTTAACCATGCTTCCGAGATACTTTCGAATTATATGAATGGTAAGACTCTTGTTGTATCCAGCGGTCGTAACTATTCCTCTCAGTAATTCACAAAACCGTTCTTTGTGGAGTGGAACATCTTGCGGGCCATCAGCTGTGACATTTCTGAGAACCGGCTTTTCTAGAAATTCCTCCTTCCAGCGTAATTCGATAGGTTCTCCGCTTAAAAGGTCGAACCTGGCAAAGTCTTTAACCGTTTCAATGCTATATAGGGCACCGTGCTGGAGGGCAATAGCTAAGAGAATATAACCAGAGGCGAATTGTGGTCTCTTGGTGTCACGAATACCGATTCCGAACCTAAAAATACGTCAAACGAGTAAGCCCTTAATTCAAGCTAACCTTCTTAAGGTTTTTTAGACTGCTTACACTATATAGTCTGGGTTTCGGTTCCCTTTAAGCCACACTTGGTTAATTTTCCATTCAACCTTCTAAGGAGCCGTAGAAGATAGAAACAAGACTAGATCGATGTGCTTGAATAGAAAATTAGCCACGCACACCCCCGAATAGTAGTTTCCTACCTTATATCTTAGGCCTCTCTTATCTCTGTCCTTATAGGCCGGTATGAATGCCCTAATCCTTGCTCCGGTGAAGAGGTACAATTGAAGCGCTAACGTCATAATAGCCTTAAGCAACCCGGGCATAAAAATGCGATGATCCGCTTGCCATATAGAGGATATCATTCGGAGAAAGTCCTTCTTCGTAAAGCTGTGGTCTAGATCCTCGACGTTCTTAATGGTTTTTTCATTTTCTGTCAATGTTCTCTTTATCCACTGTGTCACAATTAGCTCGGCTTCTATAACACAAAAAATAAAATCCAAACGATGGCTTACACTAGATATCTCTTTCCTGTCTTCTAACACAATCTTGATTTACATTTTTTCTTCAAATCCTCTAAATAGTCTTTCTGCGTAATTGAGAACCGATGTCATCACTGGTCGTCTATTTTTACTTTTTGTCCTACGCGCGAAGTGACTGTACCATCGAAGAAACTCTTTGATAAGTGTATAGTCTAGGATCGCACAGCCTAGCCCCGGTTTGTAGCCCTCGATCCTATACAGTCTAACGAAC